ACCTGACCAACACCAGAAGACTCAGCCAGCAACACGGAAGGAAATCCTGCCATTTGGGAGACCGGAATGGAACTAGAGCAGGAGGATTTTGAATGAAAACCTTAGCCAAGGCACACATTCAGCACCCCCATGAACACAAATCCTAACCCTAATTCCTAACCATGACCCTAACCCTAGTCTACTCTGTTGTGTTTTTCTTTTTAAGATTTTATTTATTTATTTGAGAGAGAGAAAGAGTGCAGAGGGAGAGTGAGAGGAAGAAGCAGACTCCCTGCAGAGCAGGGAGCCTGACGTGGGGCTCCATCCCAGGACCCTGGGATCATGACCCAAACCAAGCCAAAGGCAGATGCTTAACCGACTGAGCCACCCAGGTGGTTTTTTAATTCATAGTTTAACACTGACTTAGGAAGCATTCTTCCCTGGGATTGCCATTGTTAAGAAAAGGTGCTGCTCTTCTGAATGGGGCTGTATCAGTAAACACCCTGACGACAAGGAAATGAAGACAGAGTTCATGTTCTTAGAACTTGGAAGTATACGCTCTTGTTGCCTTGGTTCCATTTTAGTTAACGGTGAAAGGCTAAAACTTCTGTGTGCGATTTGCAGTGACAGACTAGCTGGTGAGGTGTTGAGACTATCAGAACCCGAGGGGCATTTACGTATAAAACATAATAAGTGCAAAACCAAATAAATTGCTTGAAAGAAAGGGTATTGAGCTCAGAAGCTGACAGAACCAGATTTTCAATACTTCACACATATAAACTTAAATACTTTGCAGGCTTTTGACAAAGTGGCACTTCTGGTTGCTAAGACCAAACAAGGACTTACAATTGCTGCTGCAGCATGGACTGGAAGCACCAGAGTCATTCCTTGAAAATATTGGGTGTGTCTGCAGCAGAGAAAGAGCTTCGTTCGGTACCGCTTTCCAAAGACACCACCGCTCAACATTTCAAGGAGCTGGTAAATGAAATAGAAGTCCAACTCAGAACAAGTGAAACTACCAGAATATTTTTCATCAAAACCTGATGAATCCAGTTATGGATGACATGCATATGTGTGATTTGAATATGGGGATGATGCAAACTTAGAAATTTCTTTTTAGCTTCATTGCCAACAAAACCGTTCGCTCTGAATCATGCAAAACCATGCACAGCTACGTTGCCAAACAGTATAATTTGAAGACTGAGTTTTGTGCTGTGTGTCCTGATGGCACAGCCATCATCAATGAGAATAGGGCTCTGGAGCAGCCTCCCAGAGTGATGAGCTAGCCCCAGGACCTCAGTCAACGCCCTGCTTTCTTTAGTGACCATGCCCTTCCCGGAAAACATCAGCTGACCCAAGCAGTGTGCTTAGAGAGGCGGTAAAATTGTGGCTTGTGTAACAACTGATGGGTTAAACCTAGAATTATTCTTTTTATTGTGTGTCATAATGAACCTCATCATAAGCAAATGCTGATAGATTTTTACATACGGTGGTTATCAAGGGGAGGAGTCCAGCTGAGAATGTTTCACTACAGATGAGCTCCTAGTGTCTCTGCAAGAAGCAAAGCCATGGTGGCCCCAGCTCATTAACACCACAAGTCAGACAGTCTGACATCTTCAATATCTAATGAGCTTAATCTTTCTGTGCAAGAACAGAATACCACTTTTCTTCATTAGGACACAGAAGACCATAGGACACAAATAAATGTTCAAAAACTAGAACAGAGGCTCTGCAAATTGTGATCATGAATTCCATAATTAACAAATATTATCTTGGTATTTGCACATCTGTGAAAATTGTAACCAAACACCTTATGAATCAATAGAATGTGGGCTTTTTTGGTAGAATGTTTTGAATATAATTTTCCATCAAATAAAGATCCATCCCTATAAAGTTAATGGATGCTGAACGTATTGGTCCCTCATCGTTAGCCAAACCCGACCAGGAAACAGAAGACCAGGAGCTTCCCAGGACATCCAGGAAGACACAGTGGTGTCTTGAGAGTCTGGAGAGCCAAGGGCAGGCCTCCATCACCGTGTCAAGGGGCACTTGTGTTTGGCTGTATTTTGCTTGAAGTCGGGTCATGTTACAGCATGAATATATGCTCATAAGGATGATGCAGTAGAGATACTACCTGGATGTTGCAGGAGGAGGCAGCGAATGCCTCCTTGGGGAGAAGGGACACATGCCGTTGGTGTGTGTGTGTGCAGACAGGTCCTCTCACACAACAGGAGGACACACAAATATATGCCTGTGAAGGAAGGCACGCTGGTGGATGTAGTGTTGTGACTGTGTGTGGTTTGTCTTCTGATTTCTTCAGTTTCTCGGTGAAGTAAGAGCCGAGGCCCAGAAGGTAAGGCGAGACTGGCAGTGTGACAAGTAGCCATCTCAAAGGACGTGAGGACCCCCACCCTGGAGACCTGGAGGCCGTGAGCAGCACTAAGGACGCACCCAAGGTGAGTTCTGGACGTGAGATCCGCTGAGGCAGCAGGTGGAGGAAGAGAGGGGGTGGGCAGGGGTCACCCAGTGCTGGGGGTGGGGGCAGGGGGCGGGAAGCGCGTCTGTGAGCAAGGGAGGGGTGCCTTGTCACGATGGTGCAGTAAGCCAGGGCCGGGAAGTGCGTGGGGACCGTGACAGTCAGCCAGGGTGCTCCCTGAGTGCCTGCTGGGCATGAGAGGCTCGCCCGACTAGAAAGGGGGGAGTGCAGACATTGGTGCTGCGGAGACCAGGACGCGGCCTGGCAGTGGCCGACTGCAGCAGGTGCAGGTGAGGTGGCCGGGGGAGGGGCCAGAACCTGAGGTGGATTGGGTATGTGCGAGCAAAGTCATCACAATTGGTAACCCGAGTCGCCAGCGGGGGAGGCCTGACTCTACCCCTCAGCTGTGAGGTAGTTGGAGAGCGTGTCTCAGACGGTGCTGGGAAGGGTTACAGGGCAACCGCTAATAGCTTGCACTTCCAGGGGCTGCGGTTTGGAGAAGAAGAAAAGCCACAACCCAAACGCAGCCAAGGGGGCACCCAGTCCACCTCCAGTAGCGACAGCACTCTGGAGATATGGCAGGAAAATGGAGGAGAAGAAGAGCTGGGCAGGCTGGTCTCCAGTAGGGCCAGCCCCGACTGTCGGAATCATCGGAAGGGATTCAGACCAACAGATGTCCAGGCCGTACCCCCGGGAACACTGCTTCTGAGCTACACGGGAGCCTGGGGCTGGCATTTGTAGACATCTGCCCAGGTGATGCAACAGGCGGCCAGAGACCGATGGGTGAAGGATGGTGACGGGCACAGCATAGGGAATGAGTCAGTGACGTGGCAGTAAATTTGTACGGGGACAGATGGTTGCTACACTCCTCGTGGGGAGGGCTGAGTACGGTACAGAATTGTGGAGCGCTCCTGAAGCTAACGTAACAATTTGTGTAGCCATCTTTTTTTTTTTTTTTTTTTTTGAAGGCGAGAGGTGGGTGAGAGGGGAAGAGAGCATCTTTTTTTTCTTAAGACTGATTAGAGCGCATGTGTGGGAGAGTGCGGTGGGGGAGGGGGAGGGCAGAGGGAGAGAGAATCCCAAGCGAACTCTGTGCCCAGTGCAGAGCTGGACCCAGGGCTCAAGCCCATGACCCTGAGATCGTGACCTGAGCCGAAATCAAGAGTCGGACACTTAACCGACTGAGCCACCCAGGTGGCCCTCATGTATTTGCACATGGAGAACTTAATTTTGTTCTCTAGTTAAGTAAAGAAGGTGATGGGTGCATCAGAGCAAAGGGGGAGGCTGTGGCCATCCCAGAACCCACGACCCCTGGGGCCTTTGGGGACAGGGGCTCCACATGGCCTCAAGTACAGTCTCACTAATGCAGCCACACTGTTGTGTTACAGGTGGTCTGGGCACACATTCTCTGTCCTGTATTCTCGGAATTCTGTGTGTGAGCAGGATATACCATCTCTGGATCTTACTACATGTTAGCAAAGAGAATTGCAGAATACTCATTGTAAACAGGCACCTGAGTGGTTGAGAACAGGACAAGGGTCTGCTGTCTGTGACAGACTCAGGGCCAGCTAGAGACGAGTGAGGGACAGGGTGACAAAGGATGACAAAGACAACACAGTAATCAAGCCAGAGCAGTTTGGGGAAGGTGGAAACCGTCCCCAGATGCTGACTGAGGACCCCCTAGGGCTGGCCAAGGGCTAAAACCCCTGGGCCCTCACGAGCACCCTGAGGACACCCTCAGCCACCAGATGGCAGCAGGGGACAGAAGAGGGCCCGGGTCCCACACAGGAATGGCTGCTCCTGGGCAGGTCTGGTTGGGAACCCAGGTGTCTCAGCCCCCTATCTCCATTCTAACATCTTCCCCAGATCCTAGACTTCCTGGGGCCGGCCTTGCCACAGAAGGAAGCTGTGTCTCAGACCGTGGCCCCTCCTCGCTTCCTGCAGGGGTGGGACAATTCCACCAGGCCCCAGGGGTGGCCTGGCTCCTGGCCCCTCAGTCTCTCTGAGGCCCACCTCCTCCCCCTGGACCCTTCTGTCCACTTTGGCCTCCTGCAGCACTGGGCCCATCTTCCACTACCCAGATCCACAGGCCCAGGATGCCCCCACACCTGCCCCAGTGGAGACCCTCAGGCATGTTGAGCAGAGGGAGGATCCCCCCACAAAAGAAAGGCCTGAGCCCAACCCCAGAGCCTACCACTCTCAGCCACAAAGCAGGCATGGCCAGAGGCCGGTGGCGTCCTGGCCCCCACTGTTCTTCCCCACCGACCTCACATCTCACCCTCTCCCACGTCCACTCAACCCAAAACCATGTGCAGACCACCCCTCACACAGTGCCCCAAGCCTCTTGCTGCTTGCCCCCCCCCCCCCCCCGCGCCCCGGGAGCCTGGGGTGAGGACACACCCCTCACCCCCCACCCCCCACTGCCCAACCTATGCTCTCCCTGCCAAGGTCTTGATGGGCAGGTGGGCCCCGCCCCCAGGCCGGGCGCCACCTCTGAGGCATAAAGCCCGCCAGGGCAGCTCCTGAGGGACCTCTGCCATCTGCCATGAAGGGGAGCAGCACCCTCCTACTGGGGGCCCTCACCCTGCTCTGCTCCTGCGGTGAGTCTGTGTGCTTCTCTCAGCAGGGTCCCTGTTTGGGGGATGGATGGGGACCTGGGGAGCTGAAAACCCAGGCACTAGGCCCCTCACAGTGATGGGCGGCAGCCGGTGAGGTGCCGACTGGCCTCCACCACAGAACACAGATGTGGGCAACGACCCTGACGCCCCCGCCGACCCCAGTCCCCACCCAGCCCCACCCCCACCCAGCCCAGCCCCAACCTCTGCCCCAGCCCTAGCGTCACCAAGCCCGATGTCACCAACCCAGCCCAGCCTGAGCCCAACCCTCCAAGCCCCATGTCAGCCAGCCTCGCATGGAGGGGAAATTCCAGCTTCTTTAGGGGTCTGACTCCTGCCCTAGAGATGCCAGGAAACCCAGAGTGGAGGGAGGGAGGGGGGTTCCGGGTGACAGGAGCAGTCTGTGGGCCGGTAGTGTTGGGTGGTGTTAGGGAGGAAGATCTGGGGGAGGAGAGGCTGGGTAATCATCGTGCAGGCACGATGGGAGGTGAGGGGCAGGTGAGATGGGAGTTGATGCAGAAGGTCTGGATGCCGAGGCTGGAGTGCTGGGAAGTCCGGGGTCATGGGCTGGAATGCAATCCTCCTGTCCTGGTGTCATCCCGCTCCCACCACACAGGGCTGGCCACCGGGGAGGACAGCAGTGAGTTTTTCATGGAATTCCTGCAAACGCTGCTGGTGGGGTCCCCAGAGGAGCTATATGAGGGGCCCCTGGGCAAGTACAACGTCAATGCAGATGCCAAGGCAGCACTGACTGAGCTCAAGTCCTGCATAGATGGCCTACAGCCCATGCACAAGGCGGAGCTGATCAAGCTGCTGGTACTGTGGCTGGGGGGTGGGGGCACCCAATTCCCTAAATGCCTGCAGCTGCAGCAGGACCCACGGCTCTGGCCTACTGGCCCTCCACCAAATGCCATGGCTCCTGATTATCCCCCCAATGCAGCCTACCACCCCTACAGACAGCCGACCTGCCGCAGTCAGCAGAAGTGGATATCCCAGACCTCACTCCCCACAGAGCACCCTTAGCCTCCCCTACACACACATCCACGCAGGTGCACACACCACTTCCCCAGCTGCTAGGAGAGGACTGGCCGAAACGTGCTAGAGCCTACTGTCCCCCAGGGGCTGGCCTGGAGCTGCCTGCCCAATGGAAATGGGGCTTTCTAGTTATTGGTCACCAAGGATAGGACCCCTCTGGGCCCACACCTGTCTGCCTTCCAGGTGCAAGTGCTGGGCAGTGAAGATGATGCCTAGCAGACCCCAGTCATGGCTCCAAGCAGCCACAGGACCAGCTACACAAGCAGCCACAGGACCCACGCCGCCCCATTACCACTTCCCCATGTGTGAATGTATCCTAAAACTGTTCAATCAATAAAGCCTCCTGCAGCTCCCGTTCTGGCTTCTCTCTCTCCCCACACTCAGGGCACAACTACACGCACATGGAGATTCACATACACAGGGTCACATCCACAGAGCATGCACATAGAAGTAGCCCCACACAGAGGGCAGACCCACCAGATACCCATGTGGACGGAGCAAGACAGACAGGCAGGTGGGTGGACACAGGAAGGCCTGCAGAGGCAGTGGTGGGGCGCAGGAGCAGTGACTCAGAGCAGGCAGGGACAAAGTGCCCCAGGCAGAGGACATGGCCAAGACTGGGAGGTCAGGCTGGGGGCGCTCTGCATCTGAAGGCTGTCATTCCGAGATAATAAATATACACTATGGCACAGCTCCAGGGGTTGAAAGCAATCTCCCCAAAGTCACCCAAGAAAAGAGTCTACCTGGAAGAAATGCAGACCTGAGCCATAGCCCCAAGAGGAACCTTGACAAAGTCAAGAAGAGAGTGCACCTGCTCTTGAGGACACCCATGCTCTGAGGGGTGGGCACAGCCAGCAGTGGCCCAGGAGGGAGAGCAGGGTCTGAGAAAGGTTCCACGGGAGAGCATCAGCTCCCCACCCCAACTCCCCAACCCTCACCTTGGATCCCAGGATCTCAACTGCTAGAGCCTTCCTGTGTCTCAGTTCCCCCAGATCAGTGGTCTTCAATGGGGGCAGGGCTGACTAGGTTTTTCTCTGCCCCTCACAACTTTCGGTCCCCCGCCACTCCAGTTCTGGGCCCCACGGCTTCCTTGTCCAGTACAGAACCTTGCTGTCCCTTTTCCTGCCCTCCGAGCCTCTGCCCCACCCATTGCAATGAGGAGCGGAGCAAAGTCCCGACCTGAACCATGCGTGGTGAGGGTGGGGGTTCCCTGGGCAGAGGCCATTGTCTCCATCACACATAGTGATCTAGAACTTGCTGTCCCACAGAGCCACATTCTAGAGCTTGGCGGCTAGGGCCCCTCCCCAATTCTCCAAGCCCCCTGGGGAGAGGAGAGAGAGGGAGAAGCTTACCTCTCCATGCCCCTTTTTCGGGAACTCCCTGGCACTGAGGCCGGAGTGACGGGACCGCCTCTGAGGAGGCTTGGTCCATAGGTTGCTCTGAGCGCAGCTCCCGGACCAAAGAGGTGAGGGCCCCTCTGGAGCGGCCTGCCCCCCACCCCCCGCCCCATGGCACAGTCTCAGCCAAGAAGTTTCCCACCTTTGCCCACTGCTCCTTGCCCAGTAGTGCCTAGGGTCCTCTGAGTAGGAGAAACCTGCCCAGAACCCCCTTAGAGCCAAGGAGGGGTGGTCTCTGAGGGCTGGAAGAGACAGCCCTTCTGGGCATGTACACGAGTGTCTGGAGCTCCTCCTCCTCTTGGGGTTGGTGGGGGCAGAGCAAGCCCACTACTCCAAGCAGAAGTTCCGTAAGTCTGGGCCCCAGCTCAAGACCTCACTGAGGAGACTGTGGCCTGAAGTTCTGCCCATCAGTGGGGACAAAGCAGGGATGGGGTGAGGAGTTGGGTCTTCCCAGCACCTGGTCAACCTCCCGTCCATGGACAGAGCCAGCCATGGCAGAGGAAGTATGGGTGGGCACCTGGAGGCCCCATCGCCCCCGGGGGCCCATCATGGCCCTCTACAGCAGCCCAGGACCCAAGTACCTGATTCCACCCACCACGGGTAAGTGCCTGGGAGCCTGGAATGGGACTGGGGTGGGGACAGGAGCAAGGTCTGAGGTGGGCTTGGGATGGGCCTGGGGAGGGTTGGGGAGGGGTCCTGGTCTGAGCCTGGGGAGGACCTGGAGAGGGTCTGATGGGGGTCTGGGGAGGGCATGGGGCAGGCCTGGGGTGGGTCTGAGGAAGGTCTGGGGGGTGGGGGGCCTGGGGCGGGCACTGAGGAGGCCTGAAGAGGGTCTGGGGGTACATGGGCTGGCCCTGGAGTGCCTGGGATGGGTCTGGGGAGGATTTGGGGGATCTGGGGGAGTGCCTGGAATGAGGCTACGGCAGGCCTGGGGAGAGTCTAGGGACGGTCAGGAGGGGGTCTGAGGGGTGGGTGTGTGGGATAGGGCTGGGGAGGCTGAGGGCACATCCCTGACTCCCAGCCCATGAACCCCTCTGGGGACAATAGGGTGGGGAGAAGGATGGTGTCTGGCTCCAGGATGCTCAGAGGCCCTGCCCCACAGGCTTTGTGAAGCACACACCCACCAAGCTGCGTGCACCAGCCTACAGTTTCCGGGGGGCCCCCATGCTCCTGGCAGAGAACTGCTCCCCAGGGCCCCGCTACAGTGTGAACCCCAAGATACTGAGGACTGGCAGGGACCTTGGCCCCGCCTACTCCATCCTGGGGCGCTATCGCACCAAGACCATCATGACCCCTGGCCCTGGTAAGTGACTGTGGCCCACCCGCAACCGTGCCCAACCCTGCTGATAGTTACTGCGTGTCCTGTCAAGGTGAGGGTGTGAGGGAACACAGGCATCCTGGGCCTCCATTCCCTTCATTTTCCTCACAAGGGGCGCCATCAGGCCCAAAGCAGCCTTGGAGACCCTCAGGCCCAGCTCTGACCTGAACTTTTCTTGGCCTGAGTCCCTACACCAGGCCTACATCAGAGCCTGCCCTTCCTCCTCCAAAGCTGCACCTGTCCCCCTGATTCCTGCAGTCCCTGGACACCCCGTGACCAATCTCAGTCACCATCTGTACTGGGGTCGGAAGCCCTGACCTGCAGTGTTGGGGGTTTTCCTTGACCCCCTGAGCAGGCCAGCAGCCTGTCTGCATGGTCCTTTCCCTCCCAGCACACCCTCCACTCCTTTCCCGAGCCAGGTGACTACTTTCCAGAGAAATCTACCAAATACGTGTTTGACTCGGCACCCAGCCACTCCATTTCTGCCCGGACCAAGACCTTTCGAGTGGACAGCACCCCAGGTATGCAGGAGCCCTGACAGCCACCATCCGACCGGGTTGGGGATCCTGACGTGGGCGGTGGGGGAGGTGGGGGAGACAGGGCAGCCTGATGGCTGCTCTCCTGGAAGTGGAAAGCCCCAGGGAAGGAGCCATCTGAGACTCTGGATGCAGGATTCTGTCCAGCCTGAGACTCAATGCCCATGCACCCCGCAGGCCCTGCCGCCTACATGTTGCCTGTGGTAATGGGGCCCCACACTGTCGGCAAGGCCTCCCAGCCCTCCTTCTCCATCAAGGGTCGCAGCAAGCTGGGCAGCTTCAGTGACGACCTGCACAAGGCAAGGGTCCCCCGGCCAGGGCGCAGCACTGTTCATCCCCCAGAGGTGGCCCGTCTGGCCCCTTCCCCCAGACCTTGGTGCCACCAGACTAAAGCCTGTCAGCTCTTCATGGTCTGGGTGCCTGCCACATGCCTGGGACCACCCTGCACCCCCCCACACACACACACAAGGTTACAGTCTAGGGGTGAGGAGGGGCAGACAATGGACAAAGATGCAGACAGCAACAGTGCTGAGGAGGGTTGAGCAGGGAAGGGGCTTTATAGAATGCTGCGGGGAGGGCAAGGAGCAGCCTTTGATAAAGTGGCCTGCGGGAAGATGGGAAGAAGAAGAAAAGCTGTGAGATATTTGGGGCAGGAGGGCTCCAGCTGCAGAAATAGCCAGTGCAAAGACCCTGAGGTGGGCACATGCCCGGGAGCTTGAGGAGCCTGGGGAGAATGCCAAGGTGGCGTCACAGCACCGCTGACCTTGTCCGCCCATCCCACCGCCATCAAGTCCCGCAGGACAGAGTCCCAGCTGGAAAGGGGCCTCTCTAGCACACACCAAAGGGACAAGCCTGGGACTGGCACACACTGGGTGTCATTGCCAGAGCGAGGCTTCTGTAGAAGGGCGATGTCCCGCACAGAGAAGGTCATCCCCACAGTGCGACTATTGTCTGGGGACAAAAGGGACCCCTGACACACAGACACACAGTGGCTCAAGCTGGAAATCCACTGCCCGATGCTGGCCCCCTATCCTTTGGAGTCATGCCCTGACAGCTGAGGTTGTCTGAGCCTCTTTTGCCTCCTAGACCCCAGGTCCTGCAGCCTACCGCCAAACGGATGTGCAGGTGACGAAGTTCAAGGCTCCACGGTACACCATGGCAGCCCGGGTGGAGCCCCCAGGGGACAAGACCCTCAAGCCAGGTCCAGGAGCCCACAGTCCTGAGAAGGTCTAGGAAGAGCAGGGCCCAGAGGGGTGGGGTGAGGGGTGGGGGGTTACAGTGAGGAGGGAGTGGGGATGGGGATGACATGGCCCAGAGGAGGTGGGGGTGGTCACGACCCAGTGGGGAAGGGTAGCAGGGGCACCACCCAGAGTGGGTGGGGGGGCACAGCCTGGAGAGCAGGGACCACGGGCCAGAGTGGTTCAGTTATTGGGGGCACATCCCAGGGAGGTGGGGTTGGCAGGGGCAGAGCCGGGGGGGGGCGGGCACAGGCCAGAGGAGTAGCCGGGGAGCAAGCCCAGAGTGGGTGTGGTGGGGAAGGGCCTGTGAGGGTCACAGTGGCCATGCACCCCTAGCATGGCATTCGTGGCACATCCATTGCCCCAGCTGGCAGGTTCTGCCTCCCCAGAAACCGGTGACAGTTAGTATGTAGGGCACTCACCACACACGGGCCTCTGTGTCTAACCTGGCAGCGTGGTCTTGCTGCCTGTCAGCCTGGCCCAGCTTCAGGAGGCATGGGGAAGCCACTGTCAGCAGCCCTGGCCCCCGGGAGGGCAGAGCCCGTCGGGCGGGGCAGGGGTGCCAGCTCTTCTCACCGCCTCTCCTCTCCCAGGTGACAGTGACCAAGCCCTGCGCCCCCGTCGTCACATTTGGCATCAAACATTCCGACTACATGACACCCCTGGTGGTGGACGTAGAATAGCCCTGGCCCCCACCCTACCCCGTCACCCAGAGCCTCTGCACATCATGCTCCCACAACAGATGCCCTGGGTCGTGGGCTCGGGACACCTCCACCAGCTGGGCTGTGGCCAGCCTGGCCCTGCAGGGCAGAGCATACTTGTTTGGACAGTTGTGGCCAGTTATTTTTTCTATGATGCTTTCCCATTTGCTAATCTCATTTCCTGCTGTGCCCAGATATTTAATAAATCACAGATTGCATTAGTAATGAGTTTGTCTTGGCAGTAGAATCAAGCTTTCCCAGAAAGGGGCTCCTGCCTAGGTGGTTGGGTCCTATCCTGGTTTCCAGGGCCTGGGGTCTGAGCAGAGAGGGGGGCTTGGGATCCTTGGACACCCTGCCATGTCGGCCCGCCTAACTCCGCCTTGGGCCCTGCACTTCACATTCCGTTGTACACTCCAAGAATGGTCACACCAGCATCCGTCCCCTTCCATAGTCTCGTCCCTGTGTGACTGACTCTCCCCCATGAGGTCTGTGCCCCTCCCCTTGAATCTGGACTAGAACCTGTGACCACCCTCAGTAAGGTGATACTGCATGACCTCTGAGGCCAGGCCATACAACATACAAAGGAAACAGCTCCTTTGTGGAGCTAGACAACCCCCTCCCTTTGCTCATTCCAACACCAGCCACCGTGGTGTGAGCTCAACACTTGGTGAGGCCGCATCAGCATCCAGGCAGTAAGCACACCAGCACCAACTGCAGGCACATGACCAAGCCTTCAGGTGTCAGCCGCCCCAGGCTCAGGTCTGCCAGCCAAGGCCCGTTCTAGGCAGAGGGCCGTCCCTACCATGCTGGTCTCGAATTCCAACCACACTGACCATAAGACATAAATTATTTTAATTGTGACTAAGTTTTTTAAGGTGATCTCTTAACAGCAAAGGCCACACAGGAAGCACAAGGACGTGGGCCAGGAAGGGGGCATCTGAGTAAGGCCAAAGACAGGCATTTCCAGAGGCTGCCTGGAGTCCAAGGCCAGGCCTTGAAGAGTGGAGTGTGGATTTCACCTCAGCCCTGGGGAAAGGCTGCTGTGAAGCCCGCAGGGTGGGTGGCCCCGAGGGTCATCCCTGTAAGCCCACCAGCTGTAGCAGTACGAAGTACAGTATGGCCACTGACCCTCACTCAGCTGGGACCACGAGGCTGTGTTCTGCGTACCTCACGTCTATTTACTTAACCCTTAGGGGTGGTTACAGAAACTTGACAGAGACCACCCGCCGGGGGTGGGAGGGAGAAGTGAGGAAGGGTGCAGAGACGTAATAGAACCAGAGGGGAAAGGAAGTAGGGTCCAGAACACCAGCGTCCATGGCCAGTCTGGGGACCAGGGTCAGCTCCAGATGAAACCCTCAAGCACCCAAGAAAATGACGACACCAAAGATTGTTTACTTCATGAAGCTGTTTATTCCAAATCTTTATTGTTAAATGCCTTGTTCTTGAATTGTGGGATAAAGCCTGGCAGCGTCTCCTCACTTGGCACAGGTCGGGTCCCCAGGTCCTTTTTGTTTTAGTGGTTTCAGGGACCAACGTCAGCAAACCGCGCTTACGCACAGGAGTAGGTGCTGAGCGCCCGAGGCGGGGCAAGAGGAGGGCAAAGGCTCTGACAGGTCGGCAGCAGAGCTGCCATGCCCCCATCATGGAATCCATCCCAGTGCAATGAGAAACAAAATGGTAAACCAAAAGTAACTAAAACCCAGACCCCAAAATAGCTGGAAGGGCCACAAAGAGCTATGAAGTGGAGGCGGGGAGGCAGAGATGGGGGCTTTAGGAGAGAACATTGCGGCTTGAGGTCTCAGGGGAACAGCAGAAAGCACTCATCAAGACTACCCGAAACACAAAATCTAAACCAGCCTGCATCGAATCCGTAGTGTGGTGAAGCTCTCACAACTGAGCCATGTTCTCAGGAAGAGGTCAGCACCACAGGCCCAGGGGGGATGCAGGGTGTGGGTCCATCTGCAATGCCACCAGACGGAGACACTACACAGGTCTAGTAAGCTTGGTGACCAGTGGACATGCCCCCGTCACAAGATTTAACATGAGATGGCTAACTCAAAGCCACAGTGCATGGGGACTGGGGAGGGAAGCAGGACCATGGGGGCCTGAGAAGGAATGTCAAGGAGTCAGGGGAAACACCAAAGCCCCACAGACAGGGAGGCAGGTGAGCAGACCTCCCTGGATGAGAAACTAGCCTCTGGAGGGGTAGGGGCATGTCAGAACAGAGCACTCAGAAGTAGGAAGGTAGGTTCCCCCTCCTCCAGGAGGCCGAGCAGCCCAGCAGGTCCAACGCAAGAAGAGTGCTACAGTGACCATGTGAGGAGGGGCCAGGCCTGCTGGACAGACAAGGGACGCAGAAGGGAGAACAGGGAACAGCAGCAGTGCTGACGGTGAGGTGACCAGAGTTGGAGACCGCGGCCGACGTGCGGTCAGTGTGTGTGAGTCACACCAGGGGCCTGCACAGCACACAGTGTGGGGCAGAGCCAACAGTCCTCTGGGAGTAAGCGGGAGTGACTGGGCTGGCAGAAGACGTATTTATGCACAATGAGGGTGCCGACACCTCACCGTGGGGTGCGAAGCCGCTGGCCCAGCTGGGCCTGTGCTTTGGTTTGTGTGAACGTGGGGCTGGCCAAGTGGGCAGTGAGGGCCCAGGGAGAGACGGGCACGGAGAGCAGTCTGCAGAGGCTGGGGATGAGGGAACGACTAAGAGTTCCCTTAGTAAGGGAATACTCACTGTTGAAGGGCCTCACATGGTGGAGGGGAAGCTGCCTGGTGACCCTCAGGAAGTGACCCATGGGTCCTATGAAGAGAGTCCTTGTAGGGAAGCCTCCTGTCTTGACCCACAGAAGGCGCCTCCCCAACACACATTCCGCCTAACTCTGAAACGCCAGAGGGAACTGCTTCTAGAGGTCTGGTCTCCCAGAAATACATCTTTGGTGTTGGCTAGATCTTGAATCCTGAGAAAATAGGAGTTTCTGCTCCTGGATACAAGACTGTGAGATCCAAAAGGATCAGGGCCCAATGCCTCCAGCCAAGGTTGCGGTCCACTTCTTCATCCACAATACCCTGCCCTTCCCCGAGGGTCTGGAGGGCAGGCGAGGCTCATCTGCCCATACTCAGCAGCCCTAGCCAAGAGTAGCTGCAATCTCCGAGCTGAGGAGATGGTGCTCAAACTTCACAGCCAAACCCCCATCCCATGTCAGCTCCAGGCACCTCAGGCATCAGATGTGGCCTTACCCAGAGACATGGATAGGGCAGAGCCTTGAGACGTCAGAGCCCCAAGGGACAAGGGAAGGGCTGCTGGCCACAGGTAGCCATGTCCAGGATTTCCAGAGCCTCTGGTACCCAGAGTAGCACAGGGCCTGGGCCTTGGTTTCCCCAAGGGAAAGAGACCCTTACACACACGGGACCAGCCAATACGAGCTCACTCGGTCAGAGGCAGCCATGAACGCCAGTCACAGAGGAAGAAAATTCCTAAGCCACGATCATCATTTCAAAGGAGTATTTTGCAGGTAGGTCCTCTGGAGCCTAGGACACCAGGCAGGGGAAGACCCTGGTTGCCCCAGGCCCCACAGAAGTCAGCTCCTGGTGGCTCATGTCCTTGCCCTTGACAGGAGATAGGAGAGAATGAAGAAGGCCACGATCAGGCCCACGGCCATACCACATAGAAGCTTCCGGTTGTCTCGCCCAGACCTCGCCATTGTGGAAAAGCGCTTCACGCTCCCTGTGAGCAGGCCTGTCATGCTTGTGAAATCCGAGTCCTGAGGGAGGAATCCCACCAAGGTCACACAGGGGCAGCACTTCCACGACTGCCACGCAGGTGCCAAAAGCAACACCAGGGGCCTGCACAACAGGCAGCGTGGGGCAGAGCTGACCGCGATGCCCGCGCACACTGCAGACCCTTACCATGCTGTCCAGGTACCGGTTCTGGTCTTCTGCGTCCCTATCGATGTCCAGGGCCAGCTGGTCAGGACACAGAGGGGGCAAGGTCAAGCCAGAGAACACACACTGGATGGCACCTGACCCCCCAGGAGACCAGCAGACCCTGCCAACAACTCTGCCAGGCATAGTGCCACCAGCAGAGATCAGGAGATCCAGGTGTCACCTGGGCCCCACACACCAGTGCTGCCATGGATGAGACAGGGAAGATGGGAACAACCTGAAACCCTTCCCAGCCTCTATCCTCCCTCTGGTCCCCACTCCAGAGTGCCAGGTAGAGATGAAGGGAGGACCACCACTGACCGATTTGAGCCTGGTGACCTTGGAAGCCAAGCTGTCGGCCATCCGCTTATTCTCCCGGTCTAGAATCTCCTCCACAGCGGCGGGGCTCTGAGCTGTGAGAAGGGAGAGTCTGAGGGGGTGCATCTACCTGTGAGCACTGCCCTTGATCCCTGCACATCAGCCCTTTGTGGCCTCAGGGCTCTCACTCCAATTCTATCCGGACAAGCTGGAAGTCTCAGGGGACTGGGCTCACGTCTGCTAAGCAGGTCCAACCCTAAGCCAGGGTCAGCCGCATGGACTTCACACATGACAGCCTGTGTGAGCACTTGCCATGTGAGCACCTGTCCTGTGAACATACGCCAGCCAGAATGGACAGGCACCCCAAAGGGTTCAGTCCTACCAGCACTTTCTGATATTGTGATAGAACCTGTAAGGTCCCTCCACAGATATCATCAGGATACATGGGACCTGTCCTCAGAAAAACAATTAATTCTGGTAGGGACATACGATTTAGGAAGAGCACGGGGGAGGAGGGGGGACAAAAAGGCCCCTGCAGGGACGACCCGTGAACTGGGTCCTGAACAGCTGACACGTAACCAAGGAGGAAACAACTGAGCAGAGTTCCGCAACACCCAAAAATAGGGGCTGAGGTCGATCTAGGTCTGCTCACCTCTGCACCCTACACCTTACACGGCCCCCAGAGCACGATCCATGCTGAGACCTGACACGTGACTAGCACTAAGCCAGGTGATTCCGAATTTCTGTGACATCAGGTGGGTCAGAACCACCTCCCCCCGCGGGCCGGACGCCTCAACGGGACGGATCCAACCAGGGCACAGCTCTACGAATCACTGATGGGTACACACCCCAAAGGAAGGGATGTTAACATCCTACCAACCACTTCACGTTCGTTCATTCCTTAAGTCAGAAGAGCCCAGCGACACCGGCATCAGCACCCCACCTCCCGGGTGAGAACAGGGGCTCTCAGAGGACGTAAAGCCCCCTCCCCCAGCGCTAGCTTCCGGGATCTGTGGACCGCCGGAGGCCCCAGGCAGAACGACCTCGGAGGGCCCCCGCGACCCCGCCCTGGCGCGGGCGGCGCGGCTCCGCCCGCCGGCAGCGTCTCCTGCGGGCAGCCCCGTCGGCGACGGCCGGCCGCGCCGCCATCCGGCTCGCTCCCTCGCGCTCACCCCGAGCCCAGTCCGCCATCGCGCCCGGCCCGGCCCCGGCCCCTGCCCCGGCCTCCGTCAGCCGCGCGGCCGCAACCTCGGCAGACGTGGCACAGTCGCAGGGAAGACCCCCCGTCCCCGCCTCTTCCGCTCGGGCCCGCCGACTTCCGTCCGAGGTCGGTTTCACTTCCGGACGGCGGGAGGGGGCGGGCCGTTAGGGCTGTCCCTGCCAGTGACGGCAGGACAGACACTTCTAGTGGCCAATCGCGCCGAAGGCGGGGTCAGGTCCTCCCTGGGGAGCGCTCCCAGGCCCCTCCTCCCGCGCGAGAGGCTGGAAGGGGGCGCGACGGGCCCCAGTTACTGCTTGTGGGACAAGGTGGAGACCGGCGCCTGCAACGGGCGAGCGCTGCAGAAGATGCAGCGGTGAAGCATTCTGAAGGAAAACGTGGCCAGAACGAGGGGCGGGAGTGTGGGGGTAGCGGGGACAGTAGGAGCCAGTGCTTCTCGCCGCCGCAGCTGGGCACTGGGAATGGGAGGGGACGTTCAACAAAGGCTTGATGCACCGTGCATACCGACCCAGCGTACTGGAGCACTGGCTGCGTGTCGTCTAGTCCTCCGACAACACCCTGAAACGGGAACGTGCATCACCTCTGCCTTTCAGAAGAGGAAACTGAGTCCAGGCCACACTGTATGTGGGTTACACACGATCAGGCTTGACTTCATCCTGACCCTTCCCCACTCTCCCCTTTCTTTAAGCTCCGAGGATGTCTGTTTTCTCCCACCGCGGCCGTTCCCATCTTCGCACTGGCCGCGCCTTTTGCTTTGAACGACTTTCCCCCGGATCACTTTTTACCGTCCAGTCTCAGCAAAAATGGCACTTCCTCAGATCCCTCTGCAGCCCACCAGGCCCCTTTTCTTTTCTAATCACAGCGCTATGACTGCCTCAAGCCGTCTTATTTGTCCGTTTTTCCTTGCCTTCACTTTTGGAACACAAGCTCTACGAAAGCAGGGACCTAGCATTCAGTAGGCACTCAAACCCCTGTTGAACACACCAGGTAGTCCCGGGGCTGCAAAGTCCTTTCCCCCTCGGCTTTCCCCTCGACTTCCACTTGTTCTGTGCATCCAGAGGGGCGTGGGTGGGGGACTTGGTGGGGTGGGCTAAGGTCCTCGCCTGCTGGGGATTCCAGCCCAAGAAGCAGAGGTCCCTATTAGGTTCGGAGGCGACTCGACCCCGAGGTCGAACAATCACCTAGTAGGACCTTGGAAATGCCCGCCGACTCCCGGGCAAAACCTTCAAGTTCCGGTCAGCCGACCCAAGTCTCGCCACCTTAAGCGGCCTGCGGCCCTGGCCCCGCCCCGCGGCGCGCCGCACACAGTCCCGCCTCCGCCGCACGCAGCCCTGGCCCCGCCCCGCGGCGCGGCGCGCACAGTCCCGGCTTCCCCGGCGCCAGCCCCGGCCCCGCCCCGCCCCGCGGCGCGGCACGCCACACCCAGTCCCCGCCTCCCCGGCGCGCGCTCACAGTCCCGACCTCCCCCGCGCGCAGCCCCGGCCCCGCCCCCGCCCCGCCCCGCGGCGCGGCGCGGCGCGGCGCACCCAGTCCCGGCTTCCCCAGCGCGCCGAGGCAGGGCGGAGCGGCTGGACTCCGCCCGGAGCCGGGAAGCGAAGCCCCTCCCGCCTGCCCGGCGCGGGAGCCCGGGGGCGTCATGGAGCCCCGGGTGGTTGCGGATGCTGTGGAGGCGGGAGAGGAGGACGTGATTATGGAGGCTCTGCGCACGTACAACCGGGAGGTGAGCGAGAGCCGTGAACGTGGTACATGCACGGAAGAGGTGGGGCAGGGTGGGGCACGCGTTGTGGCCGGTCCTGAGATCGTGTGTGCGGCGAGGGGCCTGCGGGCGGTGGAGCGCAGCGGGAGGGGCGCCGAGTCCGTGAGGAGTTGCTAGGGGGAGAGAGTCTGCGTGCACACACTGAGGGGCGGGGGTGGAGCGCCATCTGTTGAGAGGGGGCCTGTGGACTCGGGACCCCACCCACGGAGCCCCCTGAGCCTCTGGGTCTCTCTGCAGAACTCCCAGAGCTTCACGTTTGATGATGCCCAACAGGAGGACAGGAAGGTGGGTGCTGACCGAGGGGGAAAGGGGCAGGCGTGGGTGGCCCCGGGTAAAGGGGCCTGGTGGAGCCGCTCTTCTCCCTGCCCACAGAGACTGGCGGAGCTGCTGGTCTCGGTGCTGGAGCAGGGCTTGCCGCCCTCCCGCCGCGTCACCTGGCTGCAGAGCATCCGCATCCTGTCCAGGGACCGCAGCTGCCTGGACCCTTTCACCGGCCGCCAGAGCCTGCAGGCACTCGCCCGCTATGCTGGCATCGCCTTCGAGCAGTCGGCCCCGGAGCCTCTGGACATGGACGTTGTACTCGAGTCCCTTAAGTGCCTGTGCAACCTCGTGCTCAGCAGCCCGGTGGCACAGGTGCTGGCAGCAGAGGCCCGCCTGGTGGTGAGGCTCGCAGAGCGCGTGGGGCTGTATCACAAGAGCAGCTTCCCACACGACATCCAGTTCTTTGATTTGCGCCTCCTCTTCTTGCTAACGGCACTTCGCACCGACGTGCGCCAGCAGCTGTTTCAGGAATTGCGGGGAGTGCACCTGCTGACTAATGCGCTGGAGCTGACGCTGGGAATGACCCCCGAAGAGAACCCGCCTGAGCTCCTTCCTCCCCAGGAGACTGAGCGGGCCATGGAGATCCTCAAAGTGCTTTTCAACATCACCTTCGATTCCATCAAGAGAGAGGTGGACGAGGTGAGGACTGACCTGAGGCCACGGGTAGGGCTTAACGGTGTGGATGTTTCTTGGATCTGTCTGCCTGTAGGGTACCTGCAAGTTTCTGGGTATCAGATGGGGAGAGGACAGGCAGAGCTCTTAGCCTATCGGGAGGAGGCGAGGAGATGCACGTTTTGGGCAGGGGACCTCAAAGAATGTTTCTAAGAGAGGTGGAGGCCATATCTGGCTCTTGCAGCCTGGCAGGAGGACTGTTTGGTGCGTGGGGAGGCCATGAGCATGGGGCTAGAGGACACTGTGACTTCATCCCAGGAGGACCTGGTGACGTTCTTGGTCAAGGAAATGCTCTCGAAGGTATGTAGCAGAGGCCAAGGGGCTAGGTGTGCAGTGGAGGAGATGTGTGGTCCGTGCACATGATTCCGGAGTGGGGCTTCCTCTCACAGGGACCCCTTTCTTTTTGGTCAGGAAGATGCTTCCCTTTATCGGCACCTGGGGACCATCCTGCGGCACTGTGTGATGGTTGCTGCTGCTGGAGACCGCACAGAGGAGTTCCACGGGTGAGGGTGGGGCCTGATAGGTGGAAGGGAAGTGTGCTCAGTTGTCTGGAGAGTGGTTCCCAGCCCTGGCTGTGGGCTAGGCTCAACCCTAGAGCGTCCTCACTTTTCTAGGTGGGACCAGACATCGGTGTGTTTCTACAGTACGTCAGTATGTGGCTAGGACAAGAGCTATGGATCTGAGGATGGGAATGTCTCTCTGGAACTGGGGTAGTAGTAACGAATAATGTGGTGTTGACAGGGTAATGTGCTTACTCATCTTTGTCTCAGTGACCTGTGTCTAGGCAGGTTCTGGTTTTCCAGAGATTGTCTGTGGTGCTTCAACCCAGACAGAGCCTGGCAGGGAGGGCATCTGCAGACAGTGCCCCCTTCCTTAGGAACTTACCCCATTAAGTGGAAACACCTCCAAGGTCGGTCCCACCCTCAGCTCTGGCCTCTGCTTCCTGTCGTCAAGCCCCCAGACACTAGCTCATGTCATGTGTGGCCTCTGCTGGGGACACCAAGGGTTGTACCTGTGCTAGGGGATCTGACTTATCAAGCCCTCCTCCCCATCTATCCTCAGCCACACAGTGAACCTCCTGGGGAACTTGCCCCTCAAGTGTCTGGATGTCCTCTTTGCCCTGGAGCCACGCAAAGGCTCCTTGGAGTTCCTTGGAGCGAACATGGATGTGATTCATGTCCTTCTCAGCTTCCTGGAGAAGCGTCTGCACCAGGTGGGCAGAGGGACCTGACGTGTGGGCTCCTCGGTGGCTCTGACTTTCCCAAGCAGCCGTGGTCACTGCTTTTTTACAGTCCACACTGGTAAGTGGACATCAGCCTGGAAGTGTGATTCGGGCGGTTTCTCCAGCTGCTCTGTGGTCCAGCTTGCAGAATACCAGACTCCTCCCTGAGAAACACGTGGACCCTCTCACACACACACTTGAAGGTGTTACTTTTGCTGGTTACTGTAACGAGTTTTCAAAGTCAAAGAGCGTACTCTTCAGAGCTCTTTGTGGGTCTGTCTTGAGTCCGTGCTCGGGCCGTCAGGGTCTTAGTGCTGTAACACAGGCAGCCCTTGGGAACGAGCATCACTTGTCTCCTGGCGTCCCTGAGGGGACCCACCGGCATCTGGAGCCAGAGGCTACCTGATTCCTGTGCCTGCACACAGGACATTGGGGGGCCAGACCTCTAGTTGCTCCTCTGGGAGCTCGCAGACATCACGCAGGCTGCAGATGGGAGTGGAGTGAGATTAGGTGGACCCCTTGGGAATCCACTTGGTCACGTACGCTGTGAGCTGGGTCACCTGCGTTGGACGTGGTATCTGTGATTGTCTGTCCCTACCACTACTGCGGCTAGGGTTGGGGTCCTGGGAGGTAAGTGGGGGCAGGCCAGGGAAGAAAAGGAGCTCTTTGCTCTCTGGGTCCATGAAGCCCACATAGTAGGGATTTTTCTTGTGTTTTGGCCACTATTTTTTGAGGACAGGTCATGTCTTCTTGGTGTGCTGATGGCTGTGAACACTCTGTATTTCCCCCACAACTGTGGTTAGGTGAGGAAGTCAGAGTAGATGAGTTACTTGCCCCACGTCGCAGAGCACGTGCGAACCCTCCTAAGCTAAGTTCCTTCTGCGGCCCTCTTGAAGCTCACACAGACACCCACTGCCCGCTCTTGGCCCCTCAGCTGACTAACTGTGGCAAGGCCTCTTCCTGAGAGCCTCCGACCAGGACCAAAGCGTCTGGTGTGTGTGTGTAGGCCGCCCTCCACCCCACCCCCGACCTCAGGCCAGGTGGAGGCACAGCCCCGGTGACAGAGGCTCTTCTGCAGACGCACAGGCTGAAAGAGAGCGTGGCCCCGGTGCTGAGCGTGCTGACAGAGTGTGCCCGCATGCACCGCCCTGCCAGGAAGTTCCTGAAGTCCCAGGTATGGGGCAGAGGGGCTGGGGTAGGGCCCTGGTCAGACCCCAGCCACTTCAGGCCCAGGCTGAGGGACGGCTGCCTCCCCAGGTGCTGCCCCCACTGCGGGACGTGAGGACCCGGCCCGAGGTTGGGGAGTTGCTGCGGAACAAGCTCGTTCGCCTCATGACACACCTGGACACTGATGTGAAGAGAGTGGCCGCTGAGTTCCTGTTTGTCCTGTGCTCCGAGAGTGGTGAGTGCTGGGATCCAGCCCAACGCCTGTCCCTCCCAGCCACCTTCGCACACTGACCTCTGCCCTGCCCCTCAGTGCCCCGATTCATCAAGTACACGGGCTACGGGAATGCCGCCGGCCTCCTGGCTGCCAGGGGCCTCATGGCGGGGGGCCGGCCTGAGGGCCAGTATTCGGAGGACGAGGACACGGACACAGATGAGTACAAGGAAGCCAAGGCCAGGTGTGTGCCCCTACACCCTCAGTCCCCTCACTCAGCCTGGTCCCTGTTCCCACACCCATGTGGACCCTCGGGGTGGGTGGGACAGGATGACAGGTGGGTAGGACTTGGGGAGTCAGACCCTGGTCCCATAAGCGATATATCCTGAGGTCAGGATGTTTCGTTGAGAACATGGACTGAAGGGGGCCAGGCAGTTCGGGGACCAGGAGATCCAGGTGGCAGGAGCTGGTTCACTGCTGCTCCTGGAGGGAGGCCTCCTGCAGCTGCCCTGCTTCGTGCCACCCCCTGGAGAATGGGTTTCTTGCCAGTCCCGGCCCAGGCAGGACGTGTGGGACTCCACCCACCCTGTGCAGAGGCCTCCTGTCCTAGAGAGTCACTAATGCATTCCCTACACCCCCTCCCCTGGGAAGCAGCATAAACCCAGTGACCGGGAGGGTGGAGGAAAAGCCGCCCAACCCCATGGAGGGCATGACGGAAGAGCAGAAGGAGCATGAGGCCATGAAGCTGGTGAACATGTTTGACAAGCTCTCCAGGTACGTGGTGTGTCAAGGAGGGGCCCACGGCTGGGAGAAGGGAGAACAGAATCCCCGGCCTGTGTCCAGTCTTGTGAGCCCCAGGAGGTGAGGTCAGAGGTGGGCTTAGGCAAGGCTGCATTCCTAAGGTTTGAAACAAAGGAAACGCCCCAGGAAAGGATTAGACTTGAGATTGGTATTATGTTTGTTCCATAGATGATGAAAATTGAGATCTAGATAAATTAAGAGTCTGCACAAGGTCCCAAAGCCACCGGGTAGCAGTTGGGATTCCCCAGTAAACAGGAACAACTGAGTGGAGCACAAGGAAGTAGTCAGGGTTGAACAGGACTTATGCCACCACCCACCGTGCACCCCCCCCCCGCCCCCCCAGTCAGACCCCTTCCCCAGCCTCACCATGCTTTTCCCTCACAGGCACAGAGTCATCCAGCCCATGGGGATGAGTCCCCGGGGTCAGCTGACATCCCTGCAGGATGCCATTTGTGAGACCATGGAGGGGCCGCTCTCCTCGGAACCCGACTCAGACCCCGACTGAGGACAGCAGTCTTCTGTTCCCCCTTCAGAACTGGTGCTGCTTCCAGAGATGTCCTTGGGACTGTGACCCGGGGAAGCCATGTCCCTCTCTCCAGCTCAGAGACCCCTTTCTCTTTACTTCCAAAGTTCTGTTAATGATTTGTCTCTGGTCCAATTTCTTACCTTTAGGACTGTGAGGGCCTTGTCCTGCTGCAGCTCTGGGAACTCAGCCTTGATTTCCACAGATGAAGTAGGTCTCACGTGTGTGCCAAGAGGATGTGTGCAGAGGCTGATGCCTGGGGCAGAGGCTGAGCGTGGGCACACACAAGCATGTCTGGGTCTGGCACGCTTGCCCAGAGCTTCCGTGTCAAGCAAGCGCTGCAGTTCACGGGAAAAGAACTTGCTAGAACTGTGTGTACTAATGTCAGGAACATACTTCCAAGGTATGCTCTGCTGTTTCTGTCCCCACTGAGCTCAGGACTGGTAGCCTCTTAGGCGTCCTTGGTCCTCGCTCGGCCGTCTGCTGTAGTATCCACAGCACCCAAGCTCTCACCGGTTGTGACAGTGGAATCCTGACCATAAATAGATGAAGGGAAGTGCACCTCTTAGAGCCCTAAGTCTGGATTTCTATCACGTGCCACAAAGCATCACAAAAACATCATCTTGGAATAAAGAGTTTGAAGCAAAAGCGTGTGTATGGGGGATTAATCTCATTCTTTTCAGAATTCGGCCCTTTTCCTAGATCATTAGTCATGTCTTCTGTTCTTGAGGAGGCCACCAGACCCCCTCTGAGCAGTCTGTCTGTTAATTGTGCCACGGGTGGGGAAACAATGCCTGCAAGGAGGGCACACACACAGGGTAGGAGCCAGGGATCAGGAAGGTGTGCCTGGGTGGTGCTGTCCAAGCTGGGCCTTGGAGCAACCCCAGCAGAAAGGGCCTGTGCAGGCACAGGAAGTATGGGCTGAGTACAGGGTGGGCCAGAGGCCAGCCAAGGTTTCTAAGTGAGTAATGCCTTCCACAACATAGAGGTTAATCCTGGGGGCATTGCTGGGAAGGCCTGGAGGGGGAGAGTGGGGACAGGGGGCTGGTTGGAGAGCTGCCCGAGCAGAGGACTTTCTGGGGGAGAGGTTGAGGCGAGAGGCATCAGGGTAGAGTGAACAGGGCATGATGCCCTTCAGTGAGGGGTGCCGGGGCTCCATGGGAAACGGCACTAGGCCCGTCTCCAGGGTGAATCCAGGGGCATGTTCTCCATCCTTAGGTTATTCCAGTGGGGGGACTGTCCATGCACATGCAAGGTCCCCTTTTCACATTCATTGTCAACACCCACATTCCCTTTAAGGAGACCAAAGAGTTTATTTCATGCCAGAAATGAAGAACAAAGTTTCTCTAATTAAAAATAACCCTACTAAGGAGGCCAACGTGCTACGGGACCCTATCCTATTACGTGGGGCCCAGGACCATGCCTTGGGAGTGGCTGTGGCCACTCCACCCGAGACGGTTTTTCTAACAGACAGGTGCTGAGCCTGCCCTTCAGATGGAGACCCAGACACAGAGCAGATCCAGTCTGGGCCTCCCGTTGGTCTGCTGGAGTTCCAGAGGGTCACTGTCAGGAGAAAGCTTTTGTTCGGCATCAAGAGCTTCAGCAGACTGAAGAGTCAAACAGCAGAAAGGCGCTGGGCAACTTGGTGCCCATGACTGGGATGGCCCGCAGCGTAAGCATGGCATGATCCGTCAGCACAGAGCTCAGGACCCAGGCAGCCTCATACTCTTCCTCAGGCCACAGGTTCTGATTCAGCCAAAACTTTTCTCAGAGGTGGGCAGTGACTCCTTGGAACCATTTCTGGTCCAGGGTGGGGTGGGGAGGGCGGGGACCAGGCATCACTCTATCTGTCCCGTCTGTTAAGCTGGAACACGGAGGAGAATGGCAATCAGTCCCACAGATCTCAGGGCCTGGGTTCAAACTATTTCATAAAACAAAAGCTTTTCTGCTTCTGCCATGCTGCTGTCGAGCCAAAGTAACACGATGTCCAGCAGGACTGGACAAAACTGGGTGGCTAACCAGAAAGCTTCATTTAAGTAACCAGGTGAGATGTGCTGAAGCTCACGTGCTCAAAAATAGGCACTATTTGGGAAAGTAACCCCAAGCTGGACTGCAGCTCATCCCTCAATATTTACTCTTGGAAATAAGTCAAACAGAGAAAGACATGTATCATATGATCTCACTGATATGAGGAATTCTTAATTGCAGGAAACAAACTGAGGGTTGCTGGAGTGGGGGGTGGGATGGGAGTGATGGGGTGACTGGGTGATAGACACTGGGGAGGGTATGTGCTCTGGTAAGCGCTGTGAATTGTGCAAGACTGTTGAATCTCAGATCTGTACCTCTGAAACAAATAATGCAATATATGTTAAGAAAAAAAAAAGAAGGTAGCAGGAGGGGAAGAATGAAGCGGGGGAAATCGGAGGGGTAGACGAACCGTGAGAGACGATGGACTCTGAAAAACAAACTGAGGGTTCTAGAGGGGAGAGGGGTGGGAGGATGGGTTAGCCTGGTGGTGGGTATTGAGGAGGGCACATTCTGCATGGAGCACTGGGTGTTATGGACAAACCATGAATCATGGAACACTACATCGAAAACTAATGATGTAATGTATGGGGATTAACATAAGAATAAAAAAAAATCTTAAAAAAAAATATTTACTCTTGGATAGCAACTTTTTATTATATTCATAAACCCCTAAAACCAGAACCCACTTCATATAAACTTCTGTAAGACTGTAAAATCACACAGGTAGAATCCTGTAGGACTACTTCCAAAAATCCCTGGGGGGTCACATGACTTAGTCTTGTTGTATGGAAATAGGACGTCAGGGCCAGGAAGCTGCCAGGCGGATCTGACCAAGGCACCTGGTGCAAAATATAGGCTTGGGTGCCACCTGCCTTCTCTACTTCCATAAAATGACCAGCAACATAACTGACATTTATGAGATAAGGAGTGATACCAGCCTACATCTTAGCCATTAGAGCTAAACTCTGGAACGGACAGCTAGAAAAAACAGTGGCCACAATGTCTAAAATGTGTGGAAACAGTAAGCGCGAAGCCTCCTGGCCTAATAGGCCTCGTGTTCTTTCTTCAGTTCAACTTGGTAAGAAACCAGGCTGCAGCCAGAGGCTGGGGGCTTTGGCCAGTGGAGGTGAGGGGAAAGGCCCTCCCCACGGCCCTGAGCCCCGAGGCACTCACAGCCAAAGGGCGAGGTTTTCCCGAGACCTCTGCCCTATCCCCTTTGGGCAGTGTCACATAATGATCCTCTTTGAGATGACTGGACTTCAAATGCTTAATGCTGCCTCCTTTAGAAAATAACCACTCACACCAGGGCCACCCATGCTGATTCTTACGGGAAACTTCACTTGGGAACAGCTTTGAAACCTCGAGAGCACCAAGGGTCTCTGGCTTTCTACCTCAGCAGATGGTCATAGGCCAACGGCACTCGTGCTGATCATCTCCTAAACGCATCCCCAGGCTGGGCTTCATCCCACACCAGCAGCACACACAAGTTCAGCTCCTCAAAGTTCATCTCAGAACCACACCTTAGCCTGGAGCTGTTTGTGCTGCTTTCTTTAGGGGACAAAAGGCAAGGCTTCAGTGAGAGAGCAGCCCAGTGGGCCTGGACCAAGTCACAGCTCTAAGTCTAGAGAGCAGGCACCTGGAGTCCCTGTCTTCACTCCCACACGAAGATAATGCGAGTCACAACGCCCGATTCCTAAGCACACAGAAGGCCCCAGACAGTGGCGGCACAGGACTAACAGCCAATATTAGCTATTTTTGTCACTTTTCACCCAGCCAGGACTCCACATCAGGTGGACCCAGACCCCAGAGCAGTGAGGAAGACAGCCCTTCAGAGGACCCTGCTTGACAGTCTGTACCTTTTCCGTTTCCTGCTGGATGAGGTCCTGCAACTCTTCTGTCCAGCCCAGAAGCTCCACCAGCCTCTCCACGCCGTGAACCACATCCCCCAGCTGGACCACATCCCTGCTGCGAGGACGCCAAGCAAAGGGCCCCACCAAGTCCCGGTTGATGAGCAGTCGGGGCACTGAGCTCTGCACGGCCTCAGACAAGCTGGCAAAAGGTTCTACCTGAAAAATTGCCCAGATGTGAGGAGCACAGTGCCCACCCTCCAAGCCCCTCAGGACACTTCATGCCACAGCCTGAGACTTTGAAAGGGCAGCTCAGACTGATGGTGAGGCCTTGGATACAGAGAAAACACACCGCTATTTCATTTCTTCCAGTCATGCGGTCTGCTCGGTCTCAATGCCTGGGTTCCTCCCTCCCTGAGCCTCCCTCTGGTCCACATCTTTCTGCTTCCTACACGTCCTGGCCTCTGCAGGTCTCCCCGCCAGGCGCATCTGGGCTCCAGCAACTGTGCCCACTCTTACCCGTCCTGCCCCATCACACACCGTCCCCTCCCAGCAGCATCTCGCCTGTCTGCTCTCGCTCCCTGGGAGCAAGGGCCTGGGCCCACAGAGGGTTCCTGGGCTGCCCACAGGGGTGGAGGCCCCACCTCTCCACAGTCTCCACCATCCAGACCTCCAGGGAGTCCTAACTCGGTGCCTTTGGGCTTCTTCATCCAGCTCCCAAGTGAAATTTCCATTCAGGAGTAAAATATAAGAAATAGATTAATAAATGGTACTGAGACTGGCTCATTATCTGGTAGGAAAATACTCAATTCCTGCTTTCGCTGAAAAAATTTCAAATGTACACAAAACAGTTCTTGAGGAAAATTTAGGTTTCACAAATAAAGGTAAGGAAGGACTTTTTAGGCCTGATAAGTGAGATAAGACAAAGGAAAGTCATGATAGGTTTGACTACATAATACTATCACATTATTATCTATAAAAATATGCTGTAGAAAAATAATTTTTTAAACCTCATTGCCATAAACTGCAAACATATTTACAACATGTTACAGTTTATATTTCTAATTGCTAAGCTAATTTATAAACACTTTATATAATTTATGGATTTATACTGCTAATTTATAAATAGACTAAGAAAATAACCCAATGAAAAATGAGCAAGATATAATATGTAATCCAAAGAGAACACAATGGTTAATAAACATGAAAAGATAAACTTCACTCTTTATTACAGAAATGTTAGATCTCCTTCTTCTCTCTTTCTCTTTCTCTCTCACACACACATTTATTTCTAACCATTCAGATGGATAAAAACCTAAAGATAGGTAAAAAAAAAAAACAAAACTTAAAGACAGGTAATGTTTGGTGTTGGTGAGGATATGGGAAATGGCCACTCATACAGGGTTGGTGGCAGTGTAATTAGTATATCTTTCTGGGAAGTAACTTCTCAATATTTACTGAAGTACTCACATGAATGTGCAAACATGTATACACATGATTATTCACTACACCATTATCCTGAATATAAAATCTCTATACTATTTATTTTTGTTGTCCATCAATAGAAAGTTGCTTAAATAAATTGTTATACATCGTCATCCTAAAACTCTTGGGGCTGGGTATGTTCCAGAATTCAGAATATTTCAGATTTTAGAAAACATCCTATGGTTGATATATGTCACCCCTCAGTGGGATCCGGAGGGGTGATCCATAACCAAGTGCATTAATATTTCTCCCACACAGCATATGAGGTAAAGTCTGAGCAACACCACAGATTTACTCAGTGCTTATAGACAAGCGCTCTGCTTTGGAGGTCCCGGCAGGGACCGAGTATCCATGTTTGTCAGGGAGACTGTGGGCGCTAACCAGGTAGGTCTCTGTGCTCAGTGCTTCCCCAGCTCTGGTTAAAGATCACCACATCTGTGCAGCCTGTGAGGACACAGCAAAACACTTGCAGGGATTCTTTACTTCACTCTCTTCTTTATATAATGTGGGAGCATACAGTACTTTTATAATCAGAGAAAAAGGCTAGTTTCATTTCACTTTAAAGAAATAAAGAGGCCTGGTGGCCCCAGTGTCCACTGCTGGGGCCGGCACAGGGCAGCTGCCAGACTCCACACCACTCACCGCTGACCACCACGGCCCTCTGGCCCCTCTGCCCACCCCCCCACACAACATCCACCCTTCCTTCCAGGCCCAGTGTGGGCATCACTGGTCTGTCCACATTCTGGGCTCTTCTGTCTGCTCCCTCTGGCACCCCAGGTCCCACCTCTGCTCCTGCCTGGACTCCAGATGCGGGAATCCACCCGCCTGTGCCACGCATCCACTGGACAGCCTGAAACAGCACTCGAATCAGTGTCTCTGGGGCCAAGTTCCCCCAACGTGCCCACTAGGCTTCTCGGTCTCAGGAAACCAGCTCCATGTTTGCAGCCACTCAGGTCACAACCCTGGAGCCCTGCAGGAGTCCACACTCTCCCACCTACCGTCCCTTCACACACCTGGGATCCGACGCCCTCTGCAGTGTTACCTGGCCACCTGCCATCACCACCTGGACTGCCACCTGCAGGGTCTCTACCAGCTCTCCCCACCACAACACGTGCGGGGTCAGGAGGTCAGACCTTGTCATTGCTGCCCTCTGCTCACTCACTCCATGTGGCCACAGGCCACTGTGCAGTGTCCTCTGCCACACACCCTCAGCTGACACGTGTCACCTTCCCGACAAGGCCACGCAAACCAACAAGCTGAGATCACAACCAGTTCACAACCCTTCCCAGCCTTCCCGTCCCACGTGTTCTTTCTCCCATATTGTGCATCACCTAACACCGTGTCCCTTGCTTACAACATCCTACTGTGTCCGTCCAAAGCCCTAGAACAGGGCCCAGCACACAGGAGACACATTTGCTGAATAAACACACTTAACTCTCGGCCTCTGTAGCTGACAGGGGCTCTGAGCACAGGCCTTTCTGGCCTTCTGCCCCTTGGTGCCTATATCCAAGCAGGCAGAGCTCATTGCAGGGGCTCATTCGTTGCTCTTGTCACATCCTTTGCAAAGTTCCTGAGCTTCAGGTCCAGATGGAGAACAGCTTCTGGAACGTGTCCATGGGTGTGTCCCAGGCACCTCAAACACACACGTGTAGAAATGAGCTTGGCACCCTCCCTCTAAATACCTCCTTACCAACAAATGGCCTGAGTGCCCACAGACAGAGCCAGACCACACCCTCTCCTGTCCCCAAGTCCCTCTCCTTACCCTCTCTCCTAGTCACATGGTCTGACTGTGCCCACAGCCCTGCCTTCATGAGGACCAGCCTCCTGGACATCTTGCTTCAATCCCCACTCCCCAACAGTCTCTGTGACTCCGAGGAGCAATGTCCCTGGTTCAACCCCTTCAAGTCCATCACTTCTTCTAGCACAAAATCGGCCTCTGTGATGTGGCCTGGGAAGTCTGTCCTGCCCCACCTCTCCATGTCCCTCCCTTCTCCCTGCCCCTCACACACTGTGCCCCACCCACATTGGCAGCACCTCCAAAGCTGAGCGTCCTCCCTCTTCCCCATTCTGCCCAGACTGTCGCTCCCTAGGCCAGGGATACCTCTGCTTCCTCACCAGTTGAACCTACTTGTCTTCCGAAGACAGGATGCCAGAAGGCTCCGAGAGCACCTGGTGCCACCCCCACCAGCCCCACCTCCTCAGCCCTGTCCTTCCAGCCTCCCCCCACCACACACACACACACACACACACATATACACACACACTTCAGTCCACCACTGGACCTGCTGACAAACCTCCAGGGAGGTCCCGAGGATGAGCAGCAGATCTGCCATGGGGAAATCAACCACATGCATCAGGAATCTCTGGGGAAGTGCCTCCCCAAAGAAGACGATGTCGGGCTTCACAACGCCAGTGCAGACCGGGCAGCGGGGGATCCTGTCCACGGTCACATCAGCCTGTATAACACAGACAGAAAATGGGCCAAGGGCGATGTCACAACATACCCTAAACACGGCTCTTAATACTGGGGGAAAGAGAGAGAGAGAGGTAAACCAAGGAACACTCTTAACTGCGGAGAACAAACTTACAGCTACTAGAGTGGAGGGGGCGGGGGACGGGCTGAATAGGGGATGGGGACTGAGGACTACACTTGCTGTGATGAGCACTGGGCGACGTACGGAGTGTGAGTCACTAAACTACACCTGAAACTAGTACAACACTGTATGTTTCCTGACCGGGATTTAAATAAAAACTTAAAAAAAAAAGGATTGCTCTTACTAAGAAATTTTCAAACATTCACAACAACTGAATAATGAACCCAGCTTTGGCATTTATTGACATTTTGCCGGTTTTGTTTCATATGGCACCCTACGACTGGGGACAGGTTGGAGTATTTGAGAACGGACCCTGAAGAGCACATGTAACACCATGCCGTGCACCTGCGGTGCTTCTCTGAGACACTCAGATGCTAAGGAAATACTCAGTAGATGGCACAGTCCTCAGGAGGTACTCTGTAGGCATTTGGCCTACCCTGGGCGTAATTCAATGAGAAAAGTGGTATAAAATTTGTCCCTGATTTTAGCTGAAGTGATCACGACATCACCTTAGCCCTGGAAGACATTCAGGCTGAAGTTATAAGTAGCATTACCACAGACCGCTTCCTTGCAGGACAAGGTGAGGCAGGCACAAATCATTCTTACGCCCTAAGATGCCTGTGTTGATGTGCTGGGCTGGGTTTCAAAGGAGGGAGCCTAAGAAAGAGGACACCATTTTCTAAGACAAACCTTCCTGGCTTCGTTTTAGCAAGCTGAGCCCAGCCAGAACCAGCAGAGACAAATGGACCAAAGAGAGACTACTCAAAGACTTCAGAGACTATCAAATACAGATTAAGGCCAATTTGTGTTCAGTGTTTAAAAAAAAGACAGGTTTAAAGTATCTGATGGGGAAAGAAAACTATAAAAAATAATGTAGTGGATTTGAAAAAGAACCAAAGAGAACTTCCAGTAATAAAAAGTATCAAAAATTAGGAAGGCACTTGTGATGAGCACTGGGTGTTGTATAGAGGTGATGAATCACTAAATTGTACTCCTGAAACCAATACTACACTATATATTAACTAACTAGAATTTAAATAAAGATCTGGAAGAAAAAAATGGGGCAAGCAATTCAGATCTGGAAATGAGCCTACTGTGATTGAGGTTTTTTGCATCTCATTAAACCTTTTCCAAACAAACAAACAAAAAGTAACAAAAATTAGCACTCAGTGGAAGAGCTTTATTCTGTACAACAGAATAGAAGGTTGATAAACTGGAAAACAGACCAAAAGACATTATTCAGAACACAGCACAGAGAAGTAAGATGGAACACACAGAAGAGCCACGGGTGGGAGCCTGAGAAGGTCTCATGGGAGTTTAAGGAGAGCTCCAAAAGGGAGGAGAGGGAGTGGGAGAGGCAATCAACATCTAAGAGGCAAGGGCAAAGGATTTTTCCAGCAATGATGAAAGATCTCAAACCACAGATTCGGAAGGCCCTACAAATTTAAAGCAGAGTAAGTAAACAAAAGGAAGTCCATATGGAGATAGACCACAGCAAAAGTGCAAAACTCCAAAGACAAAGAGAAAAGGTTTAAAAATATGCAGAGAACAGATAGTGACAAACTGATTCTAGAGTTTCTGTGCAAAGCAAAAGACCAGAAGAGCCAACACACAATAGTGATGGAGAACAACAAGACTGACACTACCCAACTTCAAGACTTACTATAAAAAGCTGCAGGAACCAGGATGTGGCACTACCGTAGGAAGAGGTGAACATATCAGTGGAACAGAACACAGAGCCTAGAAGTAGACTCGCACAAACACAGTCAACGGATCTTTGACAAAGGAGCAAATCTCGTCTCTCCAACAAATGGTGCTGGACATTGTGAAAATTAATAAAGGGAGACCTTGCTGATGTGGGTTCAGGAGGTTGGAAGGAACCCTACCACTCACCATCAATCCCACAAAGAATTGTAAACTACAGACCCAACAGAAGAACCCTCAACAGGAAAGAACCATCAAGGCAGGCCCCAACAGGGGAAGATGTGTACCACCCTCTACAACAAATTGACCACCCCAGCGATTCAGCTGGCGAGACACCATCATTCCCCCGAACTGTTCCTCCAGCCCCTCCCAACTCCCTCCCTCCTCTCCATCAAATGTCCCTCTTCTCTGTTGTTTGGACTTGCCTAGTTTTGCTGTAGCTTGCTCCTCCCAAATTGCGTTTTTCTACTATTTCTGAATAAGCCCATTTCGCTGGTAAAATAACTGGCAGTTTTATTTTTAAGGAAAACATCACTGGTGTCAGAAGGGGATGCAGGGGGCTACCTTCAGAGACTTTGAGGCTGGTGAGCAAACCAACAGGCGCCAGTAACCACAGACCCAGTCGGGCTTGCAGCTTTCTCTCTGACCCTGGGGTTTGAGGGTAAGTTTTCTCTGGGACTTGAGCTTCACTCTCTGTGTTTTCAGCTCTCCAGGCTTTATTCAAGACCTTTTTAAGGCTTTGTCCTTTCTCAGAGTACTCGTTTGGCCTTTGGTCTGACTCCTCTCTAGAGCCAGGCTGTTCCTACTGGAACTGTGCTGTTTAGAAATTTTTTTCTTCCCTCTAGAGAAAAGCCTCTGGGAAATGGGATCCTAGTGATCAAAATGCTTTGAGGACGCCCCTGCCCCTACCCTCCCACATTTCTGGGACCCCAGCCTGTTCTATGTGTCAAAACTGTGGTCCCTCCTCATGTGCACTCTTAACTAAATGGACTGACTCAACCGAAAGTAATTTACAACTTCAATGGCCATTATGGGGAACTTTCCATCTCCCCAAATTTACTTTTCTCACAACTCAATCGGACAACCATGGCTCTAAAACTGTCAAAACTGAATTGGATGCTTATTTTAATTGGTACCTTGAGGCTTCCAAACATTTTTAGGATTCAAAGGTTGTTCGCCTCTTTGGTTCATTTGTTAATTTAGAAATAGTACTTTGCAAAGAGGCAAACAACTGAAAGAAGTCAACGCAGCTTCTGAGTCTTGCCCTCCCCATCTCCTTTGTCTCCAGATAGGTGGGGCGACCTTGCGCGCAGGCCCGCCTCTGGTGCCATTTCCCTCTTCCCTCAGCACTGTCCCCACTTCCCCTATACCCACCACTCATTCTAACCCTTTCGCTGAGCTTCCCTTTACCTCCAAACCTCTCCCCACCCACCTTCTCCTGAACCTATTAATAGCTACCCCTCTAAAGATAACTCTGCTGGGGGTCCAAATGAACGTCAAATTGCTTATGTTGCCTGGACTAAGGCTGAATTTCGAGCCATAGTGAAAGAGTTTCCTAAAGTGACTGAGGACCCCATAAATTTGCTGAAGAATGTAACACAGTTATTCAAACTTACCCATCTGATTTCTCAGATTTATATCAATTGGTCCCCATGCTTGTTGGTGAGGGTCAGGCCAAACGCTGGATAAAACCAGCCCAATGGGAGCATCCTGAAAGGGGTTTAGAGAAACAGATGCCTGAGTTTTGGCAAGGTGCTAGAACACTCGCTGGAAATCTCCACTGAGTGTTGGAGATGGTCATCAAAAAGATATGACCACCAGTTGACCTGTGACCTGGACCCCAGTGCTTGGAGGCTCCTCGCTCCACTCCCCTGTCCTTGGAATGTGGGTTCCCCTTGCCTCTCCCATCCCAGAGGCTGCTCCAAGGACACAGCCTTGAGATGGTGATGTGGTGTGGTGTTGAGAACACCGGCAGAGTAGATGGGGCTGAGCCCAGTTAACGGCCTCTTTATAAATTTTTAAGATTTGAAGGCAGGTGTGGGGATCCAGCCATCCTGCTGCTGCCCAGGACAAGCCTTGTTATGTCAGTTCCCTTGATGATTAAAATGGACACCTACAAACCTGGAGTGGCCGCCTCTTCGGTCTCTCCCAGCCCTCTGCCACCGGGGGCCGGCTTTAGATCACAGCCAGGAGCTCCCGAGAGGGCTGCAAGCCAACATCAAGCAATTACAGTACCTTTTCCTAAGCCTGCTGATCAAAACAAGATTCAGACTTGCACAGAGAAGCCTGATGAACCAATTCAGGGCTATCACATTCGACTCCACATTGTCTTCAAAGAAAATTCTTCCTTCAGATGCTAAATCCACCATTTAACTCCATTTATTAATGAGCTGAACCATCATCTTATGGGAAACTTTGTCCACTCCAGACTTAGTTAATTTGGCAAACCAGCTCATTGGCATCCTAGATAAGTCACCTAAAAGAAAGATCACTACCACTCTCAATTTTCAACTCCAGCAAATGTAGGCCCCTAAACAACCAGCCCTCACCCCTTGTTTCTGCTGCTATTACAAAGGGCCAGAGCAGGAGCTGGCAATGACCTTTCAGAGGTAACACCAAAGGCACAATCCATGAAAGAAAAATACGTTAGACCTCATTAAAATTAAAAACCCTGCTCTGTGAAAGACACTGTCAAGAAAATGAGAAGACAATATTTGCAAATGAGGAGAAAATATTTACAAAAGATATCTGATAAAGGACTGTTATCCATAATATACAAAAATATTCTTAAAACTCAACAATAAGAAAATGAGCAACCTAGTTAAAAAATGGGCCAAAGACCTGAATAGACAGCTCACCAAAGAAGATGTACAGGTAGCAAATGAGCATTTGAAAATATACTCCACATCATACGTCATCACGGAAATGCACATTAAAACAAAACAATACCATTACACACCTATCAGAACAGCCAAATTCTAGAACACGGACAACACCAAATGCTGCTCTTATTCATCGGTGATGGAAATGCAAAACAGTGCAGCCACTAAACATTGGAAGGACGAAACATGCTCTTACCGTACAATCCAGCAGTCGCATTCCTTGGTATCTACCAAAGGCGTTGAAAACTCACGTCCACACAAAAACCTGCGTGTGGATGTTTATAGCAGCTTTGTTCATAATTGCCAAAACATGGAAGCAACCAAGGTGACCTTCAGTAGATGAATGGATAACTGTGGTCCACCCAAACAAGGGAATATTATTCAGCACTAAAAAGAAGTGATCTATGAAGCCATGAAAAGACATGGAGGAAACTTAAAGGCATCTGACTAAGTGAAGAAGTCAGTCTGAAAAGGCTGCATATGTATGAATCCTACTCTGAACTTCTAGAAAAGGCAAAACCATGGAGACAGTAAAAGGACCAATGGTTGCCAGGGGTTGTGTGAGGGGGATGACCGGTTAGTGGGTGCAGAGTTTTCCTTTGAGGGGATATAAACGTTCTGGAATCAGATAGAGATAGTGGTTGCACAACACTGTGAATATATTAAATGCCAACGAATTGTACACTTTAAAATGTCTAATTTTACAGTTATGTGAATTTGACCTCATTAAAAAATAAAAGATGGGGTCCTATGCCTCATCAATATTTCAGAGTTTCATCTTTATTTAAGATTTTTCAGTCTATCCTATTCTGCTTGAAGAAACCCATCCTACAGAACTATCCCCAGAAGTACATAGGGGTATGAGCACAAGCGTCATTGATGCATTATTCCTAATAGTAAAAATCACAAACATCAAAAAATATCCCACAGTAGGTGAATGTCTAAATTTAATATTCCAGTTACTAAAAACGGTAAGCAGAGCTGTAGTTACTGACACAAGATACCCATAAAATTTTGTTCTGTAACAAAGCAGTCTGTAGAATATTAAACTTAATAATCCTATACTGGGGCGCCTAGGTGGCTCAGTCGGTTAAGTGTCCAACTCTTGGTTTCAAGCTCAGGTCACGATCTCAGGGTCATGGGATCGAGCCCTACATCGGGCTCTGCACTCAGAGTCTGCTTGAGATTCTCTCTCCCTCTCCCTCTGCACCCCCCCCACTCATGCTCTCTCTTTCTCTCTCTCAAATAAATTTTAAAAAGTTTTAATTACCCTATTCCAAAAAAAACTGTCACTCTGTGTGGTGTAGGTACACAGATATGGGCATGTATGTTTAGATATGCCTGTTTTTTTAAGCCTTGGAACATTATACACCAAACTGTTACAAGTGGGCTATAGGAACTGGTTGAAGGGAGATACATTTTTCCCTACATATTTCTTAATATTTTACAAGTGTGTATTACTTTTCCAATTTAAAAATAAAAACGTTTCATACCATTACTGTTGTTGTCCTTCTAATACGATGCTTATAAAATGCCACTTTTCCAGATCACTCCCACTGCAAAGTGCAGAAGAGAGAGAAGTGCAGACAACTCACCCAAATGTCCTTCCCTGGAAAGGGCCTTCGGCAGACAGTGCACGTGGCAGAGGCAAAGGATCCATGAGCTTCAACCAGCTTTGAGGCAGGGATGCCAGATACTGAAATTCAAACCAAAGCTAAGTGCTGCTGGTTCCCAGAGCATGAGCTCTGAGCTTGGCAGGCCCCCAGAGGGAGTCACAGCCCTCAGTGCAAGCCTGGTGCCCCTGCCTCCACCACCTACAGATAATGTCCCACTGACCAGAATAAGCACAGGGATCAGGGCCCCCAGATGGAGCCAAATCATGGTTAAACAAAGCCTGTCAACAAGTTTGATTAAGTTGAAATAAAACTATATTTGATACCTAGGAAAATATTTTCTATTCTACAGATACCAAGTAAAAGCAAAAAAACTATATAGGGGCGCCTGGGTGGCTCAGTCAGTTGAGCATCTGACTCTTGATTTCGGCTCAGGTCATGATCTCAGGGTCATGGGATCGAGCCCCAAGGCAGTCTCCATGCTCAGCGGAGGGTCTGCTGGAGATTCACTCTCTCCCTCTCCCTCTGCTCCTCCCACCATGGGCACATGTGTGCGTGCTCTCACTCTCTCCCTCTCAAATACATAAATCTTAAAAAAAAAAAAACAACTATATAAAGACAGTAAGGTTCAAAAAAAATGTAGAGCCTCCCCCCACCCCACCCCGGCCCCTCTCTGTCTTCTCTGCACTGGGAGCAGTTCTCCAGCCACAGCCCCTCATCCCCGGAAAACGTCCGCCTGTGCAAAGTTCGTCTCCACCCCCTTCCTGGTCAGGAGCACCTGTCAGCTGTTGAGCCGATCACTGTCTACAGCGGTGCTAAAACCACCAGAGACACTGACAGACGAGAGCCTCAGCAGCTTGGCAGCCCCACGTCCCCTGATTTCACTTATTCCTAGCGGCAGCTTCCGAGCCAGCGCCGTTTCAAGGGACATCCACAGAGCAGCCAAGTGCCTTGGGGCTGGGGCTGCCACGGTAGGGATGGCTGGCTCTGGGGCTGGAATTGGGACTGCGTTTGGGAGCCTCATCATTGGTTATGCCAGGAATCCCTCTCTGAGGCAACTGCTCTTCTCCTACGCCATTCTGGGCTTTGACCTCTCAGAGGCCATGGGGCTCTTTTGCTTGATGGTGGCCTTTCTCATCTTCGCCATGTGAAGGAGCCGTCTCCACATCCCATAGGTTTTTCTCCTGTGTCTTGTCTGCCCTGTATGTTCCTTTTCCTCTACCTCCCCAGGCAGCCTGGGGAAAGTGGTTGCCTCAGGGTTTGACAGAGGGAAGACAAATAAATACTGTATTAATAAGAAAAAAAAAAAAAACCGTAGAAAAACAAACACAGGTAACTGATTTATGACAGTTACCTGTTCCCACTGTCAGCTTCTGAGCTATGGATGGGCAGACAGCCCCAGCTGCAAGTGGCTTCCACTGTTCCCGTTATTGTCATAAATCTCCATATGCTAAAGCCCACGGCCAGATACTCCCACCTTCCCACAAGGCCTGTCCTGCTGCACCTCCAGAAGAGATCATCCCCATGGGGCATCCACTGCTGCCTAAGTGGTTCCAAACTGCAGAGTCCTTCCAGCAAGGAATCATTTTCCTGGAGTCCAAGTGACTCCTTTTTACAAACCACAAGACGTCTGCAGCCTGGCTGAGCTGCGGCTGGCTCACTAAGAGCCAGCACTATCAGCACCTATCAGCGTCGCTGCCCGTGAGAGGAAGGCTCAGCAGATGCCTCGCTAAGATGCACAGTCAGCAGTCAGTACCATCTGTGCATCACTGGTTGTGGCCACTATCGGGACAGCCAGGAGATGATTATACAGAGAGTTTGAAATACTAAGGTATGAATAGTGATCTCTTTGTGTGACAATGACATCGTAGTTATGTTTTAAAAGTCTTTATCTTCTAGAGACACTTACAGATTGTTTATAGGTTAGGCTTATGATGTCATGGATTTGCTTCCAAATAACTGGGGGTGAGAGAGAAGGTGGGGGGTAGGAAGACAGATAAAGCAAGGACTGGCTATGATGAGGGCATGAGGGTTCATTACTTCCTCTCTTTATTTTTATGCACTCAAAAAATTTCATAATAAATTTCTTAAAAAAGAAATCATCATATCAGATTAGCAAAACTAGAAGCTCCCAATGTCAACTTTAGTTCTATCCAAAACTCACAGTCCACCAATGAGATCCCAACGGTGACTCTTAAACACACAGTGGACTTTCTGTCAGGGACAAAGGCATAAGGAGTTGGCTTGAAATCAGAGGACAGGGTGAGCACTGCCTGGAAGCAGGCACCCAAAGCCTTCCCTGCAGAAGAAGAGGTGGCGACAGGAGGACGGCTCACCTCTCTCGAGCCCATCGATGTTCTGTGTGTAGAGCCGCAGAAGCAGCCCCTTGTCGTGAAGCAGTCGCAGGAAGTAGTGTATGACGTTGGGCCTGTAGCTCCTGAGGTACAGCTCCTTGGCCAAAGTGAAAAAGGGCTTGGGGTTGTGAGAGAAGAAAGTGAGCTCAAAAATGGCCTCAGGGTAGGGGAGGTCGTACTGCTGCAGGTTGCTGTAGAGGCCACTCCTGGGAGACCTGCAAAAAGGAGCAAGAGGCTCTGAGCCCTGAGGAAGAGGGCAGGACCGTGAGGCAGACCAGGGTGCCAAGGGAGGAGCTGGGCGCTGCAGGGCACCTGAAGTCCGGAATGCCGCTGGGCGTGCTGATGCCGGCCCCCACCATGACCACCACCCTCTGGCAGGCTCTGGCTTGGATCAGCTCCGCTATATCCTGCAGAAAAAGCTTCTCCTTCTTACTGTTGCCTCCTCTTCCAAAGATGCTTGAGGCACTAGCAGAAAAAGATATGGGTCTTCTTCCACCTGTAATGCTGACAGAAAAGGAGAGTGGCCAGGTGACCAGGGACAGTTAAGCTTCTGCTAGCACTTGACCACCCCCACCACTTAGAATGATCATACACTTCCCTCCTGTCCCCCCAAATGACCACCCTTCTCATCATGGATGACTATTGGGCTACAAGAGAAAGAAGTCTTAACTCAGAAATCAAAACTTATTTGGGAGCAAAAAGTTCAGGTCAGTTGGAACTGTGCAAACAAGGGATGTAACATCTCTTAATTCCTGTTACCCAGTGCTAAGAGAACAGGGTCCACACCAAAGGTGTGGGGGCTTTGTGGGGGCTCTGGGTGTGCTCTCTGCAGAGACATACACTGTAGCATACTTGGGATGTGACAAACAGGCAGTGACATTTAAAGAAAGCCAGATGTCTCAGACTTCACACCAAATACTATCAGGAGAAAAAGTGGGTTCTAGAGACCATTCCAGAAAGAAACACGCATGCCCTGAGATTCACACTGCTGCAGAAACTTGATCTTCAATGTTCACAGCCGCTCATACTATGCAGCAGCCAAAGGAATCCCACAACCAAGACAAGGCAGTGGGTAGACTCAGCTCAGGCTCTCTCTGTGAAGCACTGGAAGGCTTCTCAAGTCACCCCCAGAAGCCAGGAGCCGAGACATTCACAAGGCTAAGTGTTAGGGATATGAGATGGTCTTCCACAGGAAAAAAAAAAAGCAAATCACAATGTACAAGTCACAAGCTTCAGCAGGACCTCGGGACTTAGAAAATGACTCAACACCCAGGAAAGCAACAGGAAGAAACAAAAGCCGTATGAATAATACAAAGCCTGTAGCACTAACTGAACACCCCACTGAAGTAGTCTGCAGCTGTGGGAGGCATGCAGCGCTACAGCTTCACCTCACATGAGCCTGGAAAGGTTTCCTGGGTTTACTGATCTGCTGTTAGGGCCCCTGTGTGGCATCTAACCAAGCTGCGTGACTTCTCATCTCTTGATATCATGCTGACAACTCACCCAGAGTTCAGTACTGCCAGCTCCACTGCACAGGGCGCCTTTTTCACACCCCAAAGACTGGTGGCCACCATGTCCGTTCTTCCAGGAGAAGGCCCTTGATGACCCTCCCCCAGGACATCTGTGACTTCAGTATAGAGACTCCTCCACCCTGATGGGAAAAGAGATTCAACAAATGAAACTGACAACCCTCCTCAAATGAGTGATGAATCTAAAATGAATACAGACATAAAAACAGGAAACTGAGAGCATTTCTTTTACTCATTCATGATTCAGGCAAGAAGTAAACACCCTAAAAGCACATCGTCATACACATCAAAACAATTCAGGAGTATGCATCTTCTAGAAGTATGGCCCTAACTCATTCTCCTGTTTGCTCTTTGTCTTTTGTGTTCTTTTGCTCCTTACAAAACCAACACTGCAAACTCTCTGCACAGACCCACCCACTGGACACACTGTCAGTGAGGTTTCCCCTGAAGCTCTCTGCTCCCCATCCTAGCACAGCATATCCCATCCCAGTGACAATTTCAACCCCTACCCTGCCCTCTTATATATCCCCCCTTTCAGCCAAGCAAAAGGATTCCCTAGCTCTTGTATGTCCGAAACCCAGCGTCCTCTGCCTGAAAAGACCTTTCTCCACCTCAGCATGTCCAAATCTCCCATAGTCAAGGCCAGGACCAAATTCCACCTCCTTCGTGAAGCCACTGCTGAACCCCAGCGAGCAACCACTTTGCCCTCGTTTGATTCCCTGCTCCTTTTAGGCAGGCTGACACCCCCTCCCTTCCTGCAGTGACCCTGCACACCACCTTGCACACTCCACCCTCAGGTCAGGGACTTCCTTGCTGCTCACGGTCCACTTGCTTCTGTGTTGTTGCCTCTCCCACCACACAGAGTCATCTTGGTTTTCAAAAGAACAGATTTCTGAAGGGTATGTACAAGAGAAAGAGGAACATGACAAAGAAAGGTGTACGTGCACGGTCGAGGGCGCCCAAAGGAGAGTCAGAGCCCTAGCTCACTGCCAGTCTCATCAAGTCACTCAAACACCCTGAGCCTCAGCTGCCAATGCCAAGAGCAAGAAATGATTCTTAAAGTCTTGCTCAAGAAGACCTACAACTGTAGATCTTTCCCAGCAGAAAGTACAGGAAATACAGCAGGGAAAACAGTGCTTCTCCCTCATCCCCACACTCCTGCAGAGATGCCCACAGATCCTGAAGGAAATTCTGCCGCATCAGAGACTTGTGTAAAAAGCACCTGTCAAGCAGTTCTTCTGAGTGCAAGCTGTTAAGTCTCCAAAAGAAATTTTCTAGTGAAAACTGGCCGGATGGTCAGGAAGAGAAGAAGATGCTCTGGCTGCAGCCACAGCTGTTAAATGCCCAAGTCACTCCGCATCTAGAACAACTCTTCCCCTACAGTCTTCACCCAAACATTTACTGAACTCCTCCTACATGCAAGTTATTATGAGAAACACAAAAGGAATTAAAGGGAAGTTGTGATATTATGATATGTTTTTTGGTCTTCATCCACAGACCCCTGGAATTTCTAAGAGCAAAGGGCACATCTTTTGTTACCACGGTTGGTCTCTTGTCCTCAGTTCCTGAACTCCCCTCAGAGCCATGAAGGTGAAGCAGGTGTCTTGTTCTGCTTAACCAGCCCCTCTCCACCACAGCTGGGTTTATGTTCATGAGGGGACTTTGGAAAGGCCCCAAGGATGGGGGCTGGGTGCCAGGGGGACCAACTGTGATTAGAGGGTTGGAGCTTCCATAAAAACTCAAAAGAAGGGGGGGGGGGTCAGAGGGCTTCCAGGTTGGTGAACCACATGCCAGGGCCCTGGGCCCCAAACTCCATGAGGCAGAAGGGACCAGGGACCCTCGCAGACCTCACCCTATGTATCTCCACTTCTGGCCATTCATTCATTTCCTTTAACATCCTTCGTGATACACCCGTAATGTACTAAGTCAACCAGTCTCCAAGTTCTGTGAGCTGCTCTAGCAAATGAATGGAACCAGAGGAGGGGATCGTGGGGACCTCCGATTAGTAGCTGGTCTGTCAGAAGCACAGGAGACAACCTGGATTGGTGTCTGAACTGGGGGCTGTCTTGTGGAACTGAGTCCTTCACCTGTGGTGCTCTCTTCAGGCAGGTAGAGTCAGAATTGAGTTCATTTGCTGGGACACCTGGTCACTGCAATAAAGGTTTCTGGAATGAAGGAAAGATCCCTTGGATCTATTAAACTCTTCACCAATACTTTTAGTACCTGTGTAAGATGGCCTCAAGTAGATGTACCATTACTTAAGTATTAATCCATTATTGGACATTTAAGTTACGTTTCTTTTTATTTTTTTTTTTTAAGATTTTATTTATTTATTTGACAAGAGAGCACAAGTAGGCAGAGCGGCAGGCAGAGGGAGAAGCAGGCTCCCCACTGAGCAGGGAGCCCGACCTGGGCCTCGACCCCAGGACCCTGGGACCATGACCCGAGCCGAAGGCAGCCGTTCAACCGACTGAGCCACCCAGGCGCCCCTTAAGTTACGTTTCTTAACAACTATGGGTCTTAAGATATTCCCATATGTATGTTCAATTCCTAAGCAATGAAACGGAATAAAGGACACCTCACTAACACGCAGTGGAGGTCAGCAGGGCGAGCTCTCCCGCCCACCACTCCCTCCTCGCAGCCCTCTGCATTCCCAGCGGGAAGAACCCTGCGCTTCACGGCGCCGCGGAGGAAGGAGAGGTTCCTCCCATTCGGACAGCCCAGCCAATAAGAGCAGAGCCCAGCCAATGAGAGCACAACTCAGCCAATAAGAGCTAGTCACAGCCCAGCCAATGAGAGCACAGCCCAGCCAATGAGAGCAGATCCCAGCCAATGAGAGATGGTCGGAGCCCAGCAAATGAGAGCACAGCTCAGCCAACGAGATGCCACTATACTTCCAGTTCCCAGTTTATTCCTAAGGGGTTTTTGCATATTACAGCCTTCCCAAGAGCATTTCTGGGGCGCCTGGGTGGCTCAGTCGGTTAAGCGACTGCCTTCCGCTCAGGTCATGATCCCAGGGTCCTGGGATCGAGCCCCACATCGGGCTCGCTGCTCAGCGGGGAGCCTGCTTCTCCCTCTCCCTCTGCCTGCCGCTCCCCCGATTGTGCTCTCTCTCTGACAAATAAAATCTTTAAAAAATAAAATAAAAATGAAAGAGCATTTCTGTCCTCTGTTTCTGGAACTTGCCTATGGTTTTGCCATAGCTTTCTTGTCTTGGATTGCAGTTCTCTGCTATTCCTGAATACACCCATTTTGCTGGCAAAATAAGTTTTATTTTTAAGGTTAACAGCAAAGATCCCAAAATGTACACGTACTGCATAGAAGGGTATGAACATATGCTAGTAGAAGTATTAATTGCACAAACTTTATCGGGGACAATAAAAACGCGTATACCTTTAGACCCAGGAGTCCCACTACGAGGAGTTTATCCAAAAAGTGAGTACAAACAATATACCTCAGCATTATTTGTAATAACTAAAGATTACAAACTATTTCAATAAGTGAATGATTGAATACATTATGAAACATCAATAGAATGGAATCCTACAGATCCCACCCCCAAACTGAGAGTTGGGGAGGGGGCGGGGGGGGGGCATCCTCAGTTCCCCGCAGAGACAGACAATGGGAGGAGTCTGAATGATCTACAACCAAGAAGCTCAGACTCCATCTTGACCTCCCCCTGCGGGGACAGGAGCAGCAGGTCCCTCCTCCCTGACTCTAAGCCCTTTCCTGTAAGGTGAGGCAGGGCCTGGGGAGCTCTTCGTTGCGGTAGATGTGGTGGTTCGAATAAAAACAGTCATGCAAAGAAAAAGAAAAAAAAAGGAATTACAGATCAGTATAAAGACTAAGAAAGCATTTATGTTTTGAGATGGAAGTAAGTCCAAGACGTATTGTTAAGTAAAAAAAGCTAACTAAACAGTGTCAACAATGAACATACAAGTGTTGCTTGTACTCATCCAAAATATCCCTAAGAAACAAGAAACTGCTGCCATGGTGGCCTCTGGAATATCCTATGAGCTGCGTGAACAGGGACTCAACATTTTCAGGTTCTCCAGTGTCCCACCGACCACGCAAGGAAAAAACCTGACCCCTGCGCGCGACTGAACTGAATCCGGCCTGCTTTCCAACCCCGGCAAGGCGCGGGCACCGAAGCGCTCGTCTCCGCCCCGGGCGCCGCCTGCCCCGACTCCCCCCCGCGGCTGCCAGCCCGCCCTGCCGAACCAAGAGGCCCACTCACCTGCCGGGCCCCAGGGCCTGAAGGCGGCAAGAGCAGGCCGAGCCCACCGAGCCATGTCCCAGCTCCTCTGCCGCCCGCTCGTGACCTTGTCCCCAAAGGCCAGGAGTCCGCCGCTGCGCGCGCCGCGCCCCGCGAGCCCAGGTTGGGGTGGACGCCAGGTGGGAGCGGCTTTCTAGCCCCTTGGGGTGCCGCCTCTCGCCCTGAAGACCAAACCAGTAGCCTGCATTTCTCTACCCTGCTTTCCCCCCTTTTTCAAGAGAGACGGTGATGCGAACACTTTGCGAGCACCCACTACGGCCAGTCATCACATTGTCACTCAGTCCTCGCGAGACACTATTAAGAAGCTACTATTACCATGGGCCCCGCTTGAGAAGAGAACCTGCAGCTCACAAAGGCCGAGGCCACAAAGCCAGTCGATGGCCGGGCCGACTCCAGGCCCTCGCACTGTCGAATGGCAGGGCCGACTGCGCGGGAAATCGGGTGCAAACCCGGGACAGCGTTTCTTCCGAGGCACGGGCGCGGTTACCCTGACAACCAGCGGGCGCGCCGGCCGCCGGGCGCTCCCGGCCTGCCTCGCGCGACGCGGCGCCGGAAGTGAGTGAGCGTTTCCGGCGGCCATCCCCGCGCGCTGACACCTCCACACTGCCGCTGTCGCAGGGCCTTCTTGCCGTCATGAAGGACGTTCCTGGCTTCTTACAGCAGAGCCAGAGCTCCGGGCCCGGCCAGGCCGCCGTGTGGCACCGCCTGGAGGAGCTCTACACGAAGAAGTGAGCGCCCAGCCGAGGGCCCGCGGGCCCCAGGGCGGGGAGAGCGAGGCAGAGGGGGCGACGGGGGGAGGGGCGGGACTGTGACGGACCGAGGGTGCTCCGCCCCGCGGGCGGAGAGCGGGAGCAGGCGAGGCCGGGGGTGCGCCGAGAAGGGAGGGCGTGACAGCCCACGGGGACTGAGGAGCAGAGCCACAGGCAGAGTGGGGGGCCTGGGGTTAACTGCCATCCTGACCGAGGGGCTGTGACTGAGGTTCTGAATTCCCCTCCGCCCGGTATTTCGAAGAGGGTTCGGGGCGTTAAAGGATGTTCGCTCTTGATTCCGGTCAAACAGGCAAGCGCCCTTTCTGAGGTCCGGCTGCCAGGCCCTTTTGAATAGCAGATTCTGGTGTCTTAGCCTTGGTGTCGTGGGGCTGTGTCTGCGCCACCCTGCTCAGCGGTCTGGAGCGGATACAGCAGAACCGAGTGCAGTTCTGTTTTCCCCCCGTTGATTGTCTGTGGCTAAGCACCGACCTCTTTTTAAATGAAAACAGTAAGTTGCCAGCATTGTTCCATGGGAAAGTCCACCTCTAGTAATAACTTCCCTGGTAACAGCCCTAGCGTTCAGCATTGTGCCTTTTACACAGAAAATAAATACATTTTTGGATGACGTTCAGCAGCCTTCTGCTATTAGCGTTTTTATTTGCATTCTTAAAAATTAGACTTTGGTTTCAAATGTACTGTCATTTTTCTAGAGGGTTTATTCTTTTGCCCCTTTAATCCTTCATTTGTCCCATATACAGTGGAGGAAACAAGCTCACTTTAAGCTCCTTCCCTGAGATAATCAGCTAATAAGTAGAAGAGCCAGGATTTCAACTTAGATATGGGTGATTCCAAATTCTTGGTTTCAGCCAGACCTCACCGTAACTCTTGAGGGACTCTAAAAAGACGTCCTCCAGGGTGGCCTACCGTTGACTAGCAGAGCCAGGAAAAGAGCTCAGGTTTATTGGCGTCCGCTTTAGCTTTCTTCCCGTTACACAGCAGGAACTGGCTACTGTTTGTTATTTGATAGGACCACCAAGGCTGGCGGTGTCTGTGACTGGATATCAGTCTATAGGTCTTAAGGGCCTTATGTTTTTCAGGTTGTGGCATCAGCTGACACTCCAGGTGCTTGATTTTGTGCAGGACCCATGCTTTGCCCAAGGAGATGGCCTCATTAAGGTAAATGATTTGCCATGCTAGGTCAGATTATATAAATATGAATAACTTTTAAAATTAATAGGTGGGCTTTTTAGTAACACACTATACCTACTCAGCAGTCAGTATGTCAGGTACTGTTCTAAGGGTTTTGTATATTTACTCATTTACTCTTTACAGCAACATTGGGAGATAAGCACTACTGTTATCCTATTCATTTGATGTAGAAGTTAACACCAAGAGATTGAGTAACTTGCCGTGGATCACAGCTGATAGGTGGTAGAAGAAGCTTCAAATACAGTCCGGATTCTTCTGAAATCCCTGCCTAAAATCCTGTCTTATAGCATAGGAGGCCCTGTATCTTATTGTTCATAGACTTTTTTTTCCAGTACTGTACTTTTGGAAACTGTTGTTCAAAATTGAAAGTGCAAAATCAGTGGGGGTGGGGGTAGGATATAGTGGAAGATAACCATAGGAATCTTATAGATAACCGTCATCACCACTCTTTCTTCACTCCCACTGATTCTGCTTACTTGCCCAAATGCTTTCTCTTGGGTAGCGTGGAAGATAGGGCCTCTTTTGTGCTTCACATGGAGGTGGGGAGGTTTGGAGGGAGAAATCCTCTGTGGTAGAGCACTTTTAGAATTTTTGTTAACAGGGGGAAAAAGAACATTCTCTGCCCCAGCCTTCCCTACACTCCCTGGCAAACCCCCACCAATTTGTTCACTGGTAGCTTCCTTTTTAAAATCTTTCTTGACATCTTTGATGCCTTTCTCTTTCAAATTCTGAATGAATCGGAGATATATACCTGCATTGGAACCAAAAACTAGTTCTTGATAGCTTGAGTTATTTGCCCTGGATACGTTACTTTATATGTGCTCACAGTGAAGCTTATCACCTTATTACCCCACCACCTGGGACCCTAAGATTTTCTTGTGTTTTATACCCACCAGTTTGACATTTCACTACTTCAAAGGAACTTGTATTCATCTGTACACCTAAAGATTTTGCTGGGCATTCTGTCTTCTGGATTATGTGGAAAAATGATAAATTAGAGCTATCTTCGTATTTGTTCCCTAAGGTTCTATATCATAGCGATGAATAATTCATGCTTATTCATCTCTATCCTTTGCTCTCTTGTCTTTAAATCACTTTCTACACAGAGCAAAATATTACCTCAACCCCATGTAACGTAACACTTAGGTCAGCAGACTGGCGTTTACTGTTTCAGTGGGCAAGCAAACCTTTAAAAATTGTTGGGACTCAGCCCACAGAACTTTCAGATACATAGTGTTCATGAATCTGCAGTGACCAGTAGTAATTTTGAGTTTCTTTTTTCTTTGGAGGGGTTTTTACATAAATTGTAATGGATATCAGAAAAGTTAGAATACCCTCTTAATGAAGAAGATATCTTTGAAATAGTCCTTTGTAATGAAAAAGCCATTTTATTTAGATTGCTCTCTGCTAGGTGCCAGATTTATCTTTCTTAAAGATTTTATTTATGTATTTGACAGAGAGAGAGGGAGCACAAGCAGGGGGAGTGGCAGGCAGAGGGAGAAGCAGACTCCCCACTGAGCAGGGAGTCCGATGCAGGGTTCAATCCTAGGACCCTGGGATCGGGACCTCAGCCGAAGGCAGACGCCTAACCGACTGAGCCACCCAGGCGCCCCATGCTGGATGCCAGATTTAAATAACTAACTGGCTGCTGTACCCTCCCCCCAGTTTTACTGAGAAATAATTGACGTATAATACTGTATTAGTTTAAGGTGTACAATGTAATGATTTGGTATATGCATACGTGCAAATTGATCACAGTAAGTCTAGTTAACATCCATCTCACGGTTATGCTTTTTTTTCTTCTCGTGATGACAACTTTTATGATCTACTCTCTTAGTAACTTTCAAATATACAGCACAGTATTGTTAACTATAATCACTGTGCTGTACATTCTGTTTCCAGGACTTAATTATCTTATGACTGGACATTTGTACCTTTCGACCACCTTCAGCCATTTCTTGCACCCCTCACCCCCTGCCTCTGGCAACCACCAATCTGTTCTCTGTTATCTGTGACTTCAGTTTTTTTAGGTTTCACGTAGAAGTGAGTCATACAGTATTTGTCTTTCTTTGTCTAACTTATTTCACTAAGCAAAACGCCCTCCGGTTTCATCCGTGTTGTCACAAATGGCAGGATTTCCTTCTTTTTTTTTTTTTTTTTTTTTTAAGATTTTTAAAATTTACTTGACAGAGAGAGAGACAGTGAGAGAAGGAACACAAGCAGGGGGAGTGGGAAAGGGAGAAGCAGGCTTCCCACTGAACAGGAAGCCCGATGCAGGGCTCGATCCCAGGACCCTGGGATCATGACCTGAGCCGAAGGCAGACGCTTAACCGACTGAGCCACCCAGGCACCCCAGGATTTCCTTCTTTTTATGGCTGAATAATATCCTACACTCTGTGTGCATATGCACCACATTTTCTTTCACAGGGACATTTCCATCTTTCTGTCTTCACATCCCAGAGGAATCGCAGACTCTCCTTATCCAAGTTGACCCCATCTTGATGCTCCTTCTCCCCACTTTGCCCAGTTACCCAGCGATAAGCTCATCTGGATGCTCACTCTCCCCACTTTGCCCAGTTACCGGTGCTAAGCTCAGAGGTCATTGTCAGTTCCCCTTTCCTTTCCTGTGACCAGCGAACCTCTCAGACCCTTTGTCTACCCTCACTCTCCTGTCTTGACTAGTAGCCTCAGCTGGTCTCTGTCCCTCCCTCTGTTCCCTCTCTGTCCTTCCTGCCCCCAGTCATGCTTATAAAGTAGAAGTGTGACCATGTGTTTCCACTGGCACTGGTTTGCCTTCAGGACAAGGTCAAGCGCCAGTGCCGCCCACTGTCTTTGTCCTTCAGAAATGCTCCTAAAACACAGTGCAATGTGTCTTCAGTGCTTTTGCACATGTTTGTTCCTGTCTGGAATGTTCTCCCAACTCCATACCTCCTCTCGCATACCAAATTTGTCCAGCTCTCTTACGTTCTTCCTTACTTAAAACTCAATTATCACCATTTCTGGAATAATCTTTTATGGAACCTCTCCTTTTGGCTGATCCAGCCATGTGTTTTTTTTCTTCGCTGTAAACTCACAGTATTGTCACTTACTTGTTTACAAGTCTGCCCTACTAGGCCAGGAACCCTTGAAAGCCCAACTTTTATTTTATACATTCTGTGTCTAGTACCTAGCAAAGAGCCTGCGTACGTACTGAAGTGTTTGCTGAATGGCTAATAAATTTGGTAGTGTAGGCTGCAACCCTCTAAAATCTGAAGGTTAGTGAATCTTTCAAACTGATAGTCTGTTTTCCCTAAAATACTTTGGAGAAAATATAGGAATTGGTCTCTAGGAGATTCGTATAGGTCAGGGATCTAATTCCCAGGAAGAAAACCATAGCTTTCTTCAGTAATCCATTGGTGATTAATAAACCCAAATATGGGTCTTGTGTCATTCCGCCAATATTTCTGCAGTGCCTGCTATGTGGTGGGCATTGCGGTCACGTTTAATTTTGCAGATTGAAAGACATCCTGTAATTACTCTACGTGTTTTGGTTCCACAGCTTTATGAAAACTTCATCAGTGAATTTGAACACAGGTAAAACACCTTTGTCAGTTTTTTACTTTGAACATGAAAACATAGATGCTTAATGACACTCAAAGACCGGTGTTTTTTATTTCAGGGTGAATCCTTTGTCCCTGGTAGAAATCATTCTTCATGTAGTTAGACAGATGACTGGTGAGTCTCATTTTGTGTCATAAAGGAGCAGATCCAAATGGTAATTAAAGTGATTTTGAAATATAAGTTAATTGAACTTTTACATTTTGATAGAAAATGCCAGATTCTAAGTTACGTTTTTATTATATTTTATGATCTAAACATAAAGATTATCCTACCTGTATTGTGATTGGTAGGAACCAATCTCTAAAGATACTCTGTTGGTGGTTCTTCTGACATTGTTCTTCTGCCGTTTCTAGATCCTAATGTGGCTCTTACTTTTCTGGAAAAGACTCGCGAAAAGGTAAATACGAAGTCTGAGCCAAATCTTTAGAATGTGCGTGACTTATGGTTTTGTGTCTCCACTTGCTGTACACACTTTGTAGAGACCAGCGTGTCTCTTATCCTGTAAGTGAAGCCAGTGTGCAGGTGTTAGTTCATCTCCTGCCCACACTTCTCAGGTCCCCTTGTTTCTGACATCTGTAGGTGAAAAGTAGTGACGAGGCAGTGATCCTGTGTAAAACTGCGATTGGAGCTCTAAAATTAAACATTGGGGACCTACAGGTCACAAAGGTAAGCGTGCATAGTACAGGTTTGTCTTTGGTTTACAAAGTGGTTTATGGTTATGGGGGGAAAATCCTATTTCTCCAGTTTACCCTTTCAAGTGACTTTTTTTTTTTTAAAGATTTTATTTATTTATTTGAGAGAGAGAGAACACCTGAGAAGGGATAGGGTCAGAGGACGAAGCAGACTCCCCGCCGAGCAGGAAGCCCGATGCGGGACTCGATCCCGGGACTCCAGGATCATGACCTGAGCCGAAGGCAGTCGCTCAACCGACTGAGCCACCCAGGCGCCCTCAAGTGATTTTAAATTATAGAAAAGTTGCAAACATAGCACAAAGAACTCTGATATATCCTCTCTCACACTCCCATTGCTGACATTTCTTTGCCCCATCATTCTGTGTGTATGCGTGCGTGTGTGCGTGCAAGTTTTGGTTTTGGTTTTCAAAACCATTGAGAGTCAGTTGCTGCTATGAGGCCTGTTATCCTTTAATATAAGAGGACTGCCCTGGGCAAGCACAGCACATCTGTCAGCAGGAGGGTTCCAGACAGCCCCAGACTGTCCACATGGGCCCTCACTGACCAGGGTCAGCCCACTCACCATGACAGGTCACAGGCTGCTCCTCCACCCTCTCTGCCTCCTAATCCTTGTTGAAGTTTCCTGTCTCTTTCTTATTTCCATTTCAGTGTAATTTGGGGGACAGATGTGGGTATGGGTGGCAGTAAGACCAACTTATGTGGTCAGTCCACCTTGCTGAACCAGAGACTACCTGTGTTTGTTTTGGGTTTGGGTTTGGGTTTTTTGGTAACCATAATATTTAAGAAAATACTGGGGTGGGTGCCTGAGTGGCTCAGATGGTTAAGCGTCTGCCTACGGCTCGGGTCATGATCCCAGGGTCCTGGGATCGAGTCCCGCATCGGGCTCTCTGCTCCTTGGGAGCCTGCTTCTCCCTCTGCCTCTCTCTCTCTCTCTGTCTCTCATGAATAAATAAATAAAATCTAAAAAAAAAAAAAAAAAAAAAAAAAAAATACTGGGGTAAGTGCTGATGTTCTCATTGCCCTAAAATAACATTTCTTATTTCTTGTTGCTTCCCAGTCTTATCCTGCATGCATACCTAACTACATTTTGCTTTGGAATATTTAAGACATATTGAAAGCCATAAAACACTATAAAGAATTCTGTCATGGGTATCCACGTACCCCACGTGGCTTAGGAATGAGGCAGCACTGCACAGTTGGAGCTGCTGGGCCCTCAGAGCACATTCGTGCACCAGCAGTGCTCCCGTGCGTGTGTTTGGTGTTCCTCGTGCTTGTGTGGTTCCTGATGCTCACTAGATAGGGGTGTGTAAGTCTAAGTGATAATGTAGTATTGTTTTAAGTTACTGGCTCGGTGTGAGGCCTGAGAGTCATCATGTAGGTACCTGTGACCATTCATTCTTAGTGTTATTTGGTATTTTACTGTTACAACTGTTTCATAGCCTATGCATCAGTCTCCTCTTGAAGGGATTCAGGACTTTTTCCTATTACGAACAGTGCTGTTAGTTATCATTGTTTCTGTGCCTGGTTCCTTGTGTATGTGGGCAGAATCTCACCAGCACATGTGCTTGGAGGTGAGGCTACAGGTATAAGGTGTATGCTCTACGCCTTTACCAGATGTGGTCAAACCTTTCTCCAGGATGGCTCACGCTCCCCTAGCACCATACAAACACTTCCAAAGCTCGTGTCTTCAATACTTGGTATTTTCAGACTATTTAATTCTTGCCAGTCTGGTGGAGATGAAATGCCATCTCATTGGGGGTTTATTGACCACTCCATTCATGTCTCCACTTCTGTAAATTGCCTGTTAATATCTTTCCTTTTGCCCATTTTTTTCTGTGTTGCTTTCCTCCTGTTGATTTGTAAGAGTTCTTTATATAGGGGTGCCTGGGTGGCTAAGTCGTTAAGCATCTGCCTTCGGCTGAGGTCATGGTCCCAGGGTCCTGGGATCAAGCCCCACATCGGGCTCCCTGCTTGGTGGGAAGCCTGCTTCTCCCTCTCCCACTCCCCCTGCTTGTCTTCCTGCTCTCACTGTCTCTCTCTCTGTCAGATAAATAAATAAATAAAATCTTTGGGGAAAAAAAAAAGAGTTCTCTATACAGTGTTGGTCATACTCCCTGGTGGGTTACATGTGCAGTAAATGCCTTTGCCCAGTCTGTAGCTTGTTTTTGTCCTTTTGTGTGTGTGTCTTGGATGAACTGAAGTTTTCCATTTTAACATAGTCCTGTCTATCAGTCTTTGTGTCATATATTTCCTTAAAAGTGCTTTAAGTTAAAAAGAAAGGCGATCTTGCTTCCTGCATGTAGGAAACAATTGAAGATGTTGAAGAGATGCTCAACAACCTCCCTGGTGTGACATCAGTTCACAGTCGTTTCTACGACCTCTCCAGTAAATACTATCAAACAGTCGGAAACCACGCGGCCTACTACAAAGATGCCCTGCGGTTTCTGGGCTGTGTCGACATCAAGGATCTGCCAGGTAACATGGAGCCATTAAAGTCCATGTCGGGGGAGCACGCTCTTGAGGCATGGTAGCAGGTCTCAGAAGTTACTCTGGTGTATCCATCCCTCATTGAAAAAAGCCCAGGTGGTAGAGGGTGGGAAGAGCCGTGTAAGCATCAGTTTCTCCCCGGGTCTGCCTTCAGCATTTAGCTCAAGTGAAAACGAGGCCGCGCCCCGTAGTCCTTCGCTGTTCCTTCTCCAGTCTTTCCTGTTCTCTGAATCAGAGGCCTTTGTGAGAAGCACCGCGACGTCAGCGTCTTGGCCCCTGCAGCATGAAGGGCATGGTGAAACCCTGCACCTGAGAATCTTGTGCCGGAAACTGAACAAGACCCAGGGGAATACCTTAGAAAAATCTTCCAAGTATCTGAGGAATGGAAAGAAAAATGAATGATAGTTTTGGGGAAAGTGCAAGGAGGGTGTTTAGAAATATGAACCCATTTTAGATGTTTCTCACAGTACACTGTTGAAGCTATGGAGACCAGCAACTCCTAAAAATGGTAGTGCAGTTTTAATTCCTGCATCTCAAGAAAAACATACTGGAAAAAGCAAGTAACGCGGTCAGGAGAGTGGGGAATTGTTGTATGGGAACAGGAAGTAGGTTCACTCTATTCTGAAAAGAGGCTTGATGAGTTGACTTTAAGAGAAATAAGAGGTAATGCTTCCAGGAAGTAGATTAACTACTTAAATAGAAATAGAAAATATAAATATAGTCATGTATTTAGGTAGAAGTAAGTAAACGAATGAATGTGTTTCCCACAAAACCTGTATATGTGGTTCCAGGTATAATTTGAGTTGATCCAGTACTGTAAAAGAGAGGACTAATGGGGCGCCCGGGTGGCTCAGTCGGTTAAGCATCCGACGCTGGGTTTTGGCTCAGGTCATGACCTCAGGGTCAGGGGATCGAGCCCCACGTCGGGCTCCGCGCTGGACATGGGGCCTGCTTGAGATTCTCTCTCCCCCTCTGTCCCTCCCCACCTTCCCTCTCTAAAAAACAAAATACATAAAATAAAAATTGAAAAGATAAAAATTAAAAAAAAAAGAAACGTGTTAAGGCTTTGTGATATAACCATTACAGGGAGTGGTTTCTTCACTTTTGGGGGGATTTTTAAAGGCAGACAGGACTGATTCTCGTAACTGGGGTGTCACTGGAGGTATGTTGTTGCCGCAGTGTCTGAGCAGCAGGAGAGAGCGTTCACGCTGGGACTAGCAGGACTTCTTGGCGAGGGAGTTTTTAACTTTGGAGAACTCGTAAGTGCACCCTGGGCACAGATTTCTGTACAAGGGGGAGACTGATTTTTTTTGCCAGCTAACCATCTCCTCCTCGCAGCTCATGCACCCCGTGCTGGAATCACTGAGGAGCACCGACCGGCAGTGGCTGATTGACACCCTTTATGCCTTTAACAGTGGCAACGTAGAGAGATTCCAGACGCTGAAGACCGCCTGGGGCCAGCAGGTCAGTCATGGGAAGGATGGCTGAGCGCTCCTACAGAGCCCCTGGCTCTCCGTCATGCTGCGTCCGTTCATTGATTTAACAGATGTTTTCTGTGCACCTTCCCTCTACACCCCAGGCACTGGGGAGACAGGAGATAAAGACAGGCCAGTCTTGCTCTCATAGAGCAGGTGGTTAAGTGGCTAGTTACAGTAGTAACTCAGTTACTATGATAGTGCTCAGTGCTACTAACAGAATATGATAGGGGAGTGTCATCTGGGTGACGGGGTCACAGAGGACCCAAAAGGAGTAATGCTCTGTGTCTGCTCTTAGGTGTGAGTAGAATTTAACCAAGTGAAGAATATGAGAAGAGTATATTCAACAGAGGAAATGAAGCTTTTAGCATGTTGCTGAACTGAAATAGGGTCTGTGAGGCCAGAGTGAGTGAGTGATGAGAGCCAGGGAGAGCCTGGGATTCGGGAAGGCAGGACAGTCTGTACAGGAAGGGAGTGGTCAGTGCGGGGCGGCGGAGGGGGATGGTCAGTGTAGAGGGAAAGGGGTCAGCAGGGGAGAGGGCACTGGGCTAGGAGAGGAGCCTCTGGGAGGTGTGAATTAGGGAGAAGAGGTGTTAACACGGACCTGAGCTTTCATAGTAAGTTTATTTTTTAAATGAAATTATTAGAAGCAAATATTACTAAATTGTTCATAGTGATAGGAATTATTGTTTTTGTACTTTTCAAAATAAACTTGTAGAATTCACACATAATGGAGCCGAGTAGATGTAAATGGGCTGTGAAGAGGCAGAAAACGAGACCAGCCAACCCTAACTATAGTCCGTGTGTTGATCTCTGAAAAAAACAAATGTGCCACATGGAAAGAAAGATGGCTAGCTGTAGAAACGTAAGGAAAGAAAGAACATCAGAGGTGCCTTGTCTGCAGTATCTGTCTAAGCGAGAGCCCATTTGGGCTGAGTGGGCTCTTGGTGAAGAGTTTGACCTGTCCCATACCTGTGGCAGAAATGTCCCTGGGGGGACTGCCTGTGTTGGGGTGTGAGTTCCTAAATGTTTGAATCAGGGAACCCATTCTCCCTTCTTGTCTCTGCTCAGCAGTGACCCGTGACCTACCTGCCAGGCGACTGTGCAGGTCATGCAGAAGGGCATGTTCTGGTTCTCACAACAGTGCTGGTTTCATCACAAGTTAATGACTTGCTCTTCCAGTTCAGAACAGCTCCCTGGAACTTAAGGAATGTGTTCCTCGGAGGCCCCACTTAACATGGAGCTGAGCAAGCAGGCAGTGCACTTGGACCTGCTCAGGCACAGGACGGGTCCTTCCTTGCCTTTCTTTGTGCCAAGAGTCTCCTTGAAACGCCTGCACCTGGGTCCTACCCCCTGGTGTCTGCGGCATTAGTAGGCATCTTACCTGGTAAATGCCTTTTGTGGGAGCATAGCCTTTTGGGGAAGCACCAGTTAATGGTGTCCTAAGAAAAGTGAGCCTCCGTGACCCTACAGTGTAAGGTGTTTGGATGTGCCAAGTTTCTTTTCGTTCGATCTGTTGTAGAAAGAATTTCAAAGCCCGGGTTAGGTAACTGATATTTTTCTACTTTTCAGCCTGATTTAGCAGCCAACGAAGCCCAGCTTCTGAGGAAAATTCAGTTGTTGTGCCTCATGGAGGTAAGCAAGCACCCAGGAACCACTCTGATTTCAGACCCTGCAGGTGAGCCCACGGGGTCCTGCAAACTCTCCAAGCCTCCTGTAGGGATATTTTGGCTACACCCCATCTCCACTACCTTCCTTTATCTTCTGCCACCATTGGCTTTTTTAAGTTTGTATTTGAGTCTCATTTTAGATAATGCCTCCTCAGAGAGGTATTCCCTGCCAGTCTGAGCTGAAGTAGCTGCCACCTCATTATATGTGCCATTTGACATGCTCTTCTGTGTTTCCCGACTAGAATTTAAGCTTCTTGAGGAAATGGACCTTACATTTCTGGGCCACCACGCTGTTCCCAGCTCAAGGACAGGCCTGGCACACAGCAGCCTCAAGCACTTGCTCGGGGCATGAATACTGACCATTGCCAACAACTGCTGTGAAGCTCATTTCACCTTAGTATCTGAGCATGAGAAGCTTGTTCCTGATAAGATACATGGCTAATGTTAAGGAAAAGTTTAGTATGTGGGATAGTAATAAGATCTGTATTTTCAGAGCAAGAATTGACAAAAACATCCTTATCAGTTCGTTCTCTGACAATTTTTATTTGGAAAAATAGTTGACAAAAAATTCTTTTTCAGATGACTTTCACACGACCTGCCAATCACAGACAACTCACTTTTGAAGAAATTGCCAAGAGTGCTAAAATCACTGTGAACGAGGTACAGTTGTTGGACTCAGGACGGTCCAGTGGTAAAGCTGCCACCCAGAGGGGTTGGAGCTCCTATAAGCATTGCTCCCCAGACTCCAAACCACAGAAGACACTGTCTCATTCCCCCACACTTTAGGGCCTTCGGGTGACTCACATCAGCCCCTCTTTGAGCAGGTGGAGTTGCTGGTGATGAAGGCGCTCTCGGTGGGTCTGGTGAAAGGCAGCATTGATGAGGTGGATAAACGGGTTCACATGACCTGGGTGCAGCCCCGAGTGTTGGATTTGCAGCAGGTAACACATAGTTCACTTCTGTGGGTGGTTCGGATGGTATCTGTGCTGTCTTAGTTTCGCTTGGATGGATGCCATTTAGGAAGAAAGCAGTATTGACGAGAGATTTCAGAGAATGTATTATTGCTGTGGGGACTAAGGGTTTTTCAAAGAACCTAATTTAGGCCTGGGGTTTGAACCCTGCATTTAAAAGCTTATCATAATTACAGTGCTGGTTGTGCTGATGATGCCTTTTAATCTTAAAATTGGTACTCTGATCAAATATGTTCCTAGTTCTGTGGTTTGAGCTCAGATCCATCTTGTCCATATTTGCTGGAAATTTAATCCTGTGGATTTCCTCTATTCTTACCTGTTTTCTTTCATGCAAGTTTTTTTAAATGTCCTTGCGATAAGAATTGACTGGGATGATCCCCTCTCACACAGCCCACTCCCCCAGCTCTGGTGTCCTTTTTATTAGTGCTGCCCTAAAGAATTAGCTGGAGATGTACGCCTGGGATTCCCAAGTGTCCTAACACCCGTGTGGTCCTGGTTTGCCTCAGATCAAGGGGATGAAGGACCGCCTGGAATTCTGGTGCACCGATGTGAGGAGCATGGAGATGCTGGTGGAGCACCAGGCCCACGATATCCTCACCTAGTGCCCCCCACCTCACCCATTTGTGGCAGCTGAGAAGATCTGCATTTAATTGGGGATGGGGGGTGGGATTCTGTTTGTGGAGTGGGGACTGTTCTTCCTGCTGTGAAAACAGGACTATCACTGATAGGGGGCCTGGCCGTAGAGAGAAGCCTCCTTTGTGGGTTTCTCCCATAGCCCACAGTGGGGAGGGGTCACGGGTCTCCGGTGACGAGGCGGGCAAGAGTGTGCATGTGCCCCGAGGAATGAGAAGGAGTAGCTCTGAAGTGTGTGGGGACACCACTTGGAGGCTCATCTCCATTACATCCACCTGTGTGAACATCTCTGGTGTCATATGAGAATATTCCTATAATAAACGCCTTTGTTTTGTCCTTTTTGTGGTTCTGTTTTCTTAGTCTTAGCTTCCAGGTCAAACCTGGGCCTAAGAGATTAGAAAGCAGGAGATGGGAGGTAGGGCTTGGTGGGGGTTTGGCCTCAGCCCTCCTTTCCTACCCTGGGAAAAGGGCAGCCCTGCACATACAGGGCACGGGGCCAGGGAAGCAAGTCCTATCTCTTGTGGCTCAGACATGGTGTCCACCCACTACCACCCAGCCAGGGGCTTCTGGGGCCCCGGTGCCCCAGCGCCCCAGTCAGCAGCCCTCAGCCCAGTGCTGAGTGTCCAGGGAGGGGGTGCTCATACACAAATGACAGCCACCAAGTGAACACTGGGTGGAGGGAGGGGTTTAATGGGACCGTTGGCCCTGTGCCCGAGCCCAAGGTACAGAGCCTTCATGCTGCAGAGCTTCTCTTGTAGCTGTCCACGTGGGCTAAGACCCAGCCCGCAGGAATCAGGAAGCTGAGGAACATCACAGAGAGCCCAATGGCTTGCTCCTGGGTTGAGGAAAGCACATGTGAGTCCACCAGACCATCACCAGGTCATTCCTGGCTCACTGAGGAAGGCTGTCTATCTGCCCCTCTGTCCCCTGTCCCTGCGGCGTGGGATGCCTTCTAACCAGAGCAGCCGTCCAGAGTTAGAGACATCCTGCCCTGCCCCCTCTGCTCTTGTGGGACCCTCAGCCCAGCCCCAGACTTCTTTTTTGTCAGGTGGAGAAAGCCTGCAATGCACGAGCAAGGACTACTGTAATCATCAGTGTGGACAGCCTCTGCAGAGACCCAGACTAGCAGCCCTGGGCCCCAGTCTCTGTGGAGCAGGACCTCTTATCATAGCCCCCTCCTCCCCCAAGAGCCTGCCTGGCCAGGCCATGTGTCCCTCGACCTTGAACTCCTGACCAGACGCAACATGTGCCCTCCCTTCCGGATACTGGCAGACGTGTGTGTCAGGTGCTGTGCAGGACAGAAGAGACAGCTGAGATTCGGGTCCCACAAACAAGGGCAGGGCCTTTTCCCTAAATGGCGGTCCTGCTCAGAAGCCTGGCTGGAGGAAATAGGACTCCCCGTGCTGCGTGTGCATTTATGTGCACGCACACACAAGCACACGAAGGCCATCTCACCTGGAGCCAGGTTCCAAAGAACCAGCTATACTCGGATTCCTCCTGAAACAGAGCCCGGGCCCAATCATCCCTCCCTGTTCCCTAAAACAGAGTCCAATGCCGGGTCAGAAACCAATTCTTCCTCTTGACTTGGCCTTCCAGCGGATTCAGAGCAACGTTGCCCAGAACTGGGCCCCTAGGCTGGGTTCAGATCTTAGCGTCACCGGTCATATGACCTTGAACAAATGACCTTCGAGACCTTGGGTTATTGATGCTTAACACAGAGGTAGTTGTCTGCTCTCCTGGAGCACGAGAGTGACTGAGGTCTGTGTTTTTGCCTGTGCTCTCACGAACCCTCAAAGCAACCCATTCTTCCCCTTCAATGAGCAGCAAATCTGGAATATACACTGAGTGCCCTTCAAGCTCAGCTGTTAGCACCCCTCATTTGCCAGAACACAGGGGGCCTGAAAACAGAGAGACCACCATCCCCTCACTGACTCTGCTGGATGCTTTGGGAGCCTGACCTCCAGGAGATGGATGCAAGGACCTCTTTCCTGGAGGAAGGACAGTGTCCCAGCCATAGGACTGCATTCTAGCACGAGGACCACCTCTAGCTGCAGGCCTGAGAATATATTCCTCCTCCCCTTTACCAGCCTGGCCTTCTGTATCCTGCCCCCAAACCCACCTCATCTTCTACACAATGTAGGACTGCCCACGCCCCCTGCTCGAGTCAGCGCTCCTATGGCACTGGAGGTACTCACCGTGGGAGAAGTGGGTGTCCGGGCTGGCTTGGCAGAGACGTGCGCCTTGGGAACTACCCAGCCCCTCAGAGGGGCCTGCAGCAGCCTGGTGGTACAGCCTAATCTCAGCATGGTAGTTGAGCCGAGCTCCTCCTGGAGTCCAGCAAAGTTCGTGTATCTGCTCACTCGGGTGTTGGGGCTTTTTATAGCTCAAGGCGGGGAGCTGCAGCTGTCCCCTCTTGTCATGGTGCTTGGCAGAGAGGACGCCCGCTTGGAAGTGGGCGAGAGCCAGCCTCGGGCCAGCAGCCTCCAGGCACTGTCCCTGCTGTAGCACCCGAGGGGCTTCGAGCCCTTCGCAGTGCAGGCAGGCTTGGCCCTCTCTTCAAAGGGCCTTCATTTCTCTGTGAAAAAGGCACTCAACAAAGAAGCAGGACCAGGGGAGTTGGAGAGTTTGAGAATGCAAGAGGGGGAACGTGACCTAAGGTAAGAGTGAGTCTTAAGTATCTGGAGTGTAGCTGGCAGCGCTGTGTAGAGCTATTTTAAAATTCTCTCACTTAGGAATTCCTGGCTGAGCTGCCCAGCCTTCTGATTCTTTTTTTTTTTTTTAAGATTTTATTTATTTATCTGAGACAAAGAGAATGAGAGAGACAGAGAGCACATGAGAGGGGGGAGGGTCAGAGGGAGAAGCAGGCTCCTCGCCGAGCAGGGAGCCCGATGCGGGACTCGATCCCTGGACTCCAGGATCATGACCTGAGCCGAAGGCAGTCGCTTAACCAACTGAGCCACCCAGGCGCCCTAGCCTTCTGATTCTTAACTGATGGTCCAGCTGGGTGTTCTCGGAGCCCCGCTCCTCCCAGGCGCAGCACGTGGTGAGTCTGAACAGCCCCCCGCTGATTCTGGCAGTGCTGCCACGGACATGACAGCCTTAGTTCCCAGGGGAGACCCTCACGATTGCACCGAAGGTCAGCAGACACTTTGTGAGTGTGAGTTCAGGGGCAGGGGGCACTTAGGCCCCTGCCTCTGGGCCCACGTTCGGGTAAAGGCTCCCAGGGCCAAATGTGCTGGGTCCACGGTACCCACCAGCCCTGGGGTAATCGGCGTGTAACCCGCCCACATGCCACGTGTGAGCTCAGAGCCTCCCCGCCTCTCTTCTTTTTCTACAGAAAATGAGTTACTCATTTCTTCCCACAGCAAACATCTACCAGTAAATTTGTTTTCCTGCTCTCTGAGAGACTATTTCACACCTTCTCTCTGTACCAACAACCCCCTACACATAACAGACACACCTTCGTCGGAGACCTGCTGCTGATTTCCTTGAGATAATGGAAGTGACCAGATGTGACCCACTGTCGACCCCAGTTACTGTCCTCCAGGAGAGCAGCGACCCTGAGCCCCTGGGGTGAGTCAGATGCCAAGCTCAAGTCCCCAGCAGCTTCTCCAGCCCCTCTGTCCTTGGTTACTGGATGACGAGCCCCTGGTCTTCCTTCCAGCTTGTCCAGATCCTACCTGACCCCTGACAGCCCCAGGACTTTTGCAATCTCTCCATCCACCTTCTCCAGACCTCATTTGGCTGTGACACCCCAGCTGCTTATCAATCATGATATTTAGGATGTACTGATGCTGACCCTTATCCCCACCTTTGGTGGAGTTCCCAAGGCCCTGCAGTGTGTCCCCCTGCTCTTTCCCTTCCCGGCTGCTCAGGTCAAATGTCTGAGCACCACCCTCGTTTTCCTCTGGTGCTCACACTCCACACCAGGTCACCAACATCACCACACCCCACCAAGCTGATTCCCCACCCTCGCCCAGTCCAACCTTGAACGTGTCCTCTGGCCACGTTCTGGCGCCACCCAGTAGCCAGAGCAGCCCTTGGGGAACAACCAGCTCCCACCACTGAGGCAGTTCAGCCTCCTCCACAGGCCCGGCCCACCTCCCTCCCTTGGCTTCCCCAGGTCTGAACGGTCTGACCTTGCCCTCACCTGCACCCAACCCACTAATGCCAGCCCCCTGCCTCATTCCAGACACACCTCACTCCCCCCCACACTGGTTCCTTTGCCTGGACAGCCTTTGCAAGGTCCTGTTCCAATGACCTCTCCTCAGACATACCTTACTGACAGTCCGCTTTCATGGCTGGAATATAAGCCCCATGAGGGCATGGACTTTGTTGGATTCATCACTGAACTGTTGGCGCCTGGCAGATTTTCAGTCTGTGTTGGAAGGCTGGTTGGGGAGGGAAAGAAGGAGAGTTGGGGGGGAGGTGGCTGACTGGCTGGGGTTGGAAGGACAAATACAGTTTCCATCGCATGGCCAGCACTGGCTTGGCTTGAGGAGAACACACCTGAGTCAGACGAGAAGGAATTCGGCAGGGTTTCATTCTACTGTCAAAATGACCTAGATTACTGTGCACAGTGATAAAGTTCACAGCCCAGAGTGCACCCTTTAGCCATCTCCGACCTGATCGGCGTGGGTGCAGGCCAGAGCTGAGGAGCAGCAGGGCACCTGACCCCAGACTCAGCCGCGGTCACCACCCTCACGGGGTACGATCACGCCCCCGTCTGCCTGTTTAGAAATGGTGAGTTGATGATCTGAATACATTGCATGGGAGACGTGATTTTACATTTGTTCTTCCCTGGAAACCACACTTGTTCTAAATGTGAGGCTCATTTCTGGGCTTCCCACCCCACCTCCCACCGTCTTCCTTCGTCTTGGTTTTCCAGAGAGGAGGCAAGCCCTCAGAAGCTGGAGGAGGGAGTGTGTCCTGAATGTTATCTCCAGCAATGCTGAGTCCCAAGTCCCAATGCCAGCCTCAGGCCGTGGGGGGCTCTGCCCCTCCTCTAGAGTAATCCCTTCCGCCTAAACCTTTAATTATAGCTTTGGGGTCCGGTCAGGAATAAGACTGTGGGTCAGACGATCAATTGTGCAGCCTACAGTGTTTCTTTTTTCACAGAAAAGAACTGCTGTCCCCAACCACCCAGGCCTGGTTCTAAGGAAGGCCTTCTCCACCCTTCCCAGCTTGGGGGGGCAGGGTTATAAGGAGTGTGGGGGGGGTACTAGATGGAAGAGGCCTTGGTGAGGGCCAGGACAAGGGGCCTGGGGACTGCGGTCCAAGGGAGAGAAATGTCCCAGGCCTCGCCCTCAAACTTCTATGCTACACCAGCTTTTGCTTTCAACTCCTTCTCATCCATTCCCACAGGCCTAACCTTTCCAACCTTTCTGAGCACAAACCTACCCTCCTTGTTTCCACGCTCACATAGCTTCCGGGGGCTCTACCACCCAGTGGTGAGCTTCAGACCTCAACCTGACTGGGTTTTTAGTCCCCAGAACCACTTGTTCAAACCAAATCCTACGCAGATCCCTGCTGCCTCCAGCAGACACAGATGGCATGGCCTCTCCTTTCATTGCTCTGAGGCCACACTGAGCCTCCACAGACCACTGCTCTGTGTCCTGGACTATTCTCCTCTTCCACCTGGAAGGAAAATGAGATGACCCATGGAGAAAGGAGTGGTGGCCGAGGGGCAGGGCGTCACAATGAACAAGAAAGTGAAAGTCTCTGAGGGGTGCAGCGTCAGATGAGTCCCCTGTAACAGCAGGAGAAACCAAGGCTTGGAGAGGGAGCAGGTCCCAGGGATCAGGGTGAGCCAGGCCTGTTCCGGCCTATTCTGGACAGGAGTGGCTTCAGGAAGAGCTCCTGAAGGCTCTGGAAGACAGAAGTACCCCTGTCACCTGAATCTTCACCATCATCTCCTTCATCCACGCACACCCAGCACATACCTATCTCTGCCCTTGACCTGTCGCTACTGCCCCTGGGGGTTGGGTAGAAGAGACCAGCCACCTGCACACATCCTCCCACTCACAGCTGCCAGGCCACCTGGAAGGTCTGGGTGACAGCATGGCACATGGCACCACCCTGTGTCCATACTTGGAAGCACAGAAACTGCTGGAGAAAGCAGAGAGGCACTGACAGACAGCACAAGTTCTCAGCATCAGGGACCCAGAAAAAATGCACATGCAGGCAAGCATTTGCATGTTATTTAAGATTGTATTTATTTATGTGTTTATTTTAGAGACAGAGACAGAGCACGAGCAGAGGGAGAAGCAGAGGGACAAGCAGACTGCACATTGAGTGCAGAGACCGACATGGGACTGGATCCCACGACCCCAAGATCACGACCTGAGCCGAAATCAGGAGTCGGATGCTCAACTGACTAAGCCACCCAGGCACCCCAAACATTTGCATATTATTTTTATTGCAAATCTATTTCATCCCATAAAGCACTGGACCAGCAGTATCACCTGGAAACTTGTTAGAAATCAATTAGAAACTCTGTGGCAGTCCCAGTCCACTGTCACAATAGCCCTCCTAAGGAACTGTGATGCACAGACATGTTTAAGAACCATTTCTAGGGCGCCTGGGTGGCTCGGTTGGTTAAGCGACTGCCTTCAGCTCGGGTCATGATCCCAGGGTCCTGGGATCGAGCCCCGCGTCGGGCTCCCTGCTCAGCGGGGAGCCTGCTTCTCCCTCTGACCCTCTCCTCTCTCATGCTGTTTCTCTCTCGCTCGCTCTCTAATAAATAAATTAAATTAAATTAAAAATTATTAAAAAATTAAGAACACATGGGGCGCCTGGGTGGCTCAGTCGTTGGGCGTCTGCCTTCAGCTCGGGTCATGATCCCAGGGTCCTGGGATCGAGCCCCGCATCAGACTCCCTGTTCAGCGGGGAGCCTGCTTCTCCCTCTCCCACTCCCCTTGCTTGTGTTCCCTCTCTCGCTGTCTCTCTTGGTCTGTCAAATAAATAAATTTCTTTTAAAAAAGCAGCAAAATCCTCAACAAAATATTAGCAAACCAAATTCAACAGTACATTAAAAGGGTCATACACCACCATCAAGCGGGATTTATTCCAAGGATTCCATGGTGGTTCATCATCCACAAATCAATCTGTGTGATACACCACATTAACAAAATGAAGAATAAAAATTATATGATCATCTCAATAGATGAAGAAGCACTTGACAAAATTTAACAACCATTTGCGATAAAAATTCTCAACACAGGGGCGCCTGGGTGGCTCAGTCAGTTAAGCGTCTGCCTTCGGCTCGGGTCATGATCCCAGGGTCCTGGGATCGAGCCCCACATCGGGCTCCCTGCTCAGCAGGAAGCCTGCTTCTCCCTCTCCCACTCCCCCTGCTTGTGTT